GTGGTGGCAGCGGTGGGAGTGGTGGCGGGAGTGGGGGCTTTGGTGGCGGCGGTGGTGGCAGCGGTGGGAGTGGCGGTAGTGGCGGCTGTGGGAGTGGTGGCAGTCGGGGTGGAGCTGTTCAGAGGGGAGGTTCAGGCGGTGGCCAACGGCAGCAGCAGCAGCGTCGGAGCGAGACCCCTTCGCCCCAGCAACTTTGTGAGTGGTTTTCTCAGCGTGGGGCGTCTGGGGGTAGTGTTCTCTGCCCGTATGTCATTCGCACGGGTGACCGTACTGGTCAGACATGCGGGAAGCCTCACGCGCAGCACCGCTGCTTCTCCCGCCTAGACGACGCTTGGCGCTCAGAGTTTGGTGACGAGGCGGAGCGTCCCTGCTGGGCAGAGCTGCTTCGGTCTGGAGTTGCTATCTTTGATCTTGACTATGATGCTATCCTTGCTACTATGATGCATTTTCTGTTAGTGCTGAGGGTGACTGTTACCTGTGTGTGCCGCCTGACCCAGGTATAGAGGCTGCTACTCTAGGTGCTAGTGAGTCTGATCTCCCTGTTACTGCGTCTGCTGAGGCCTTGCACACCTTTACACTTGACTCAGGTGCTTCCCGCTGTTTCTTTCGCGACAGCACCACCCTCACTCCTCTCTCTGCACCTGTACCGGTCAGACTGGCTGACCCTCAGGGGGCCTAGTTATTGCCCATTCCTCCACTGTTCTCTTGTGTCCGGCGGTTCTGTCTGGCTCAATCTCACGTCTTCACCTCCCCTCGTTCTCTACAAACTTGGTGATTACCGCTGCCCTCCAGGATGCGATGGTCACTACCACCACTCCTGGGGGTCAGCGTGTGTCAATCTGCTTGTGTACATGGACGGGCCGTCACCCGGCCACGTTCACCTGTCGGCCTGGGTCGAGTCTGTACACTCTAGCTACCGAGCCTCCTCATGTAGCTGCGTCTGCCCAGGTGTTTGCGTCAGGCCCGGTAGCACCCCCCTGCTCGTGTCGCCTCCTGTCGCACCAGACTCTTTTGTGGCACCACCGACTTGGTCACCCCTCCCTGCCACGCCTTCGTGGCATGCACTCCCGCCTCTTTGTCTCTGGTCTTCCCAGGTCTCTACCTCCCCTCCCGCCCTCGCCTGCCCCGCCCTGCCTTCCTTGCGTCGAGGGGCGGCAGCGTGCCGCTCCTCACTCCTCCTTGTTTCCCTTGACGACTGCTCCCCTGCAGACTCTCCACATGGACGTGTGGGGCCCAGCCCGCGTCAGTGGACAGGGCCGCGAGCGCTACTTTCTGCTGGTTGTTGACGACTACACGCGTTACACCACGGTCTTCCCCTTGCGCAGCAAGGGTGAGGTCCCTGATGTTTTGATCCCTTGGATCCGCGCAGTCCGTCTCCAGCTCTGCGAGCGGTTCCGCCAGGACCTTCTTGTCGTGCGTCAGCACTCTGACAGAGGTGGTGAGTTCTCCTCCGACCTCTTGCAGGACTTTTGTCGTGGGGAGGGCATCCTCCAGTCGTTCACGCTTCCGGCCTCCCCATAGCAAAATGAGATTGCTGAGCGCCGCATTGACCTAGTCATGGAGGCCACTCGTACCTCCATGATCCATGCGGTTGCTCCCCATTTTCTGTGGCCGTTTGCGGTCTTTTACGCTGCGCATCAACTCAACCTCTGGCCCCGTGTCTCCTTGCCGGAGACCTCGCCTACACTGCGTTGGACGGGGAAGGTTGGCGATGCGTCGGTGTTCCGGGTCTAGGGTTCTCGTGCCTTTGTTCGCGATACGTCCGCGGACAAGCTCTCCGCCAGCGCTATTCCCTGCGTCGTCCTTGGCTTTCCCCCTGACGAGCATGGTTGGCAGTTTTACCACCCCACCTCGCGCCGTGTCCTCCCCTCTCAGGACGTCACGTTTGACGAGTCGGTTCCCTTTTACCGTCACTTCCCCTACCGCTCTGCCCCTCTCCCACCCCCGCCGCTCTTCCTTGCTCCAGGTCCCCTTCCGGTTGACCCCCTCCCACCTCAGAGTCCTGCTCCCTCAAGTGTGTCTCAGGTAGACCCACTCCCTGGTACTGTGCCTGTTGAGGTCGCTGTAGACTTAGGTGCTGCGTCAGGGGGTGCTGCGTCTGGAGGTGCTACGTCTGGGGGTGCTGAGCCTGCGGGTGCGGAGCCTGGGGGTGCTGAGTCTGAGGGTGCCGGGTCTGGGGGTGCTCAGCCTAGGGATGCGGAGCCTGGGGGTACTGAGCCTGCGGGTGCGGAGCCTGGGGGTGCTGAGACTAAGGTTGCGGAGCCTGGGGGTGCGGAGCCAAGGGGTACTGCTTCTTCTGGAGGTCTTGTGGGTGCCTCGCCACGACTGTCTCCCCGGCCGGAGCCTCTCTCCCCGCAGCAGCTGTGCGAGTGGTTTGCTCGGCGCACACGCCTTTGGAGTGGAGCTGCCAGAGCTGGAGACTCTGCCGCTGGAGGCATTGAAGCTGGAGGTACTGGAGCTACTAGTCTTGGAGGTGCTCGAGTTCTTGCTGGAGCTAGAGGTCCCGAAGGTTCTAGAGCTGCTGGTCCTGGAGGTGCTTGTACTAGGGATACTGGAGCTGCCGGGGCTGGTGGAGCTGAAGGAGCTGGAGCTAGAGGAGTCATGCCCAAGTGCACAGCCCATATCGCCTTGGCACCAAGCTTGTTGTGCCGAAGATGCTTAGGCACGAGCGCCATGCACATGTACCCGAACACCCGAAGCATATCCACCTTTGGATTCCTTCCAATCCACTCCACATAGATCACCCATTTGTTTGCTCCTACATGAGTCAAGGCTCTGTTCTTAGCCACACACGCACTCTGCACCGCATCAGGCCAAAATTAATCGGGTAACCCAGCTTCAATGAGCAACCCGTGCGCCGTCTCCGTGATTGCCCGGTTCGCTCGCTCGGTGATGTCATTCATTGCAGGGGAGTACGGCATGGTAAGGGAGTGCCTTATGCCATTCTTCTTCAGCCACGTAGAGAAATCCTTGCTCAGGAACTCTCCCCCTCGATCAGTGCAAATTGCTTTCATTAGCCAGTCTTGTTGCCGCTCCACCATCGGCAACCAATCGGTCTTCACCGTTCCAGCCACGTCGCTCTTCTTGGAGAGCACATACACCCAGGTCATGCGGGTGTAGACGTCCACAATGGTGAGGAAATACTATGCTCTAGCAGCTCCAAGCTTCAAGGGGCCCACTACATCCATCACCACCTCATCAAGTGGCCTCTTAGCCGTTTCCTCCGAGCTAGAGAACGGGAATCCGGAGAACTTGGCTTGCATGCATGTCGGGCAACCAAGTACCTCATTGGGCTCCCCATTTACACGTATGTCAGCAACCATCTCTTCCTTCACTAGCTGCTGCAAAATAGGCAGAGAAACATACCCCATGCGCCGATGCAAAGTCAACCAATCACACTCCCCCGTAGCCGAAGTCGGATTGGAGAATGCCGCACTCGCATTAGTGCCCCACATGCTCTCTCTGTACTCCTCCTCCGCTGCTTCCTCGGGGTTCTCCTCACCCTTTTGCTGCTCCTTGGCTTCTTCACCACTCTCTTTATGCTCACACCGCTTGCTGGTCCCTCCAAGATTGCACTTCATGGACTCTTTCCCCTTTATGTCATCGTTAGCGTCGTCGCCGCTACCAACCGCTTCACCCTTGGTGCTGTCGCTTGCTGCCACTTGCCTCTCCTTAGGCATTTGGACCATACAGATCTGCCAAATCTCGTTGTAGACATCCTTGTCTTCGTGAAGGTCCCAAAGAATCCGCTCGCCAAGCCTTGCGGTGTAGGTCTTGGCTCCCTTTGAGCTCGTGTCCATGCCGGCCTTTTGCAATTGCCGCACGAAAATCAGGTTCGCAGCAAGGTTGGGCATCAAAAGAACGTTCTTGAGGCCCACCATCTTTCCATCAGCACCCTTAAACATAGCCTTGCCCATGCCTTTCACCTCTGCTCACTTCCCCAAAGCCAATGTGACATGCTTCACCAGTGACGGTTCGAGTTTGGTGAGCAAGTCCGCGCGAGGTGTCATGCTATAGGTAGCGCCGCTATCGATCACCCAATAGTCCAGGGAGCGCAAGGTGACATTTCCCACAGCTTCTGGCTCCTCAAAGTTATTGCCATTGAACTTGTCAAGCCCAAACACCCTAGGTTCATCCTTAGGTGGGCCAAGACTTGGTTGCACGGTCGCCATAACTGAATCACGGGGTTGGCCTTGAGCTTGGGCTTCTCCACTGCCACCAGCACCTCTGCCACCCCTTTCATTAGGTCCAGTCATTGCCGAAAGTAACGAAACAAAAAGACCCCATGAAATGTTCACGAAAGCCATGGCTAGGGTGTGAGCTAGCCAAGGATGTCGAGAGAGTTCAGGCCAAGGAGAAAATCGAGAAAGTGAGAATGATTCACTAAAGGGCCAAAGGCCGAAGTTATACAAGAGACAAGAAAGGAGGGGGTGCACCACAAGCAGGACAGTGATATAACTACACTACAGCTAGAATTACATGCAGTTATACAGAAATATATTATGACACGGCATGACCATCATCTGGCATCTACCGGTGATTTTCGTTCCAGCACGTCTGGCCGGCCCGGCGCCCCTGTTTCGTCCCGCCCTTTCTACGGTTTGGACTAATCGAAAAACCATCAAAATGCTACCATTTGTTTCTATTCTCATGCAGCCGTTTAGTAAACATAAAAATGTAGTTGTTACCCCCAACACCATAATCTTCATACAGGGAGCAGTTTGAACTGAATAGAATACAGATACTACAGTAGTGCAGCAATAATAGTCAACTTCGGGAGCAGCTGTATGTAGGTCGTTGCCACATGTCATTGGGGGAGAGCACTAGTTTCCCCAAGCCTTCGCCAAGCAGAAGAACAAGCAGGACGCTAGGTAGGAGGAACAAATGGTCGCCACAGAACGAAGCAGTTTTCCCGCTTTGCGGAGTTTCTAGCGGGCTATGCGGAGACTATTTGCACGTTCTGGTAACCATCTCTCTTTCGATCGCAAGGCAGTTCCTCAATGTCAAAGCTACGACTCTTCAGGGCGTTAGTGCCCTCGGCTCTGTTTCTAGACTCTTCCGCAGCGGCCAGGGCAGCAGCAGGGGCTGCAGCGATTTCGCAATCCGGAGGTCTTATCGCTCAGTCGTCGCAGCATTGCGCCGATCTTAGCCATTGCTTCGCTACAGTCACTTCTCCTCATCGCAACCAGCAAGATCCATCAGCAGAAGCGGAAATCGCTGGCTCGAACGATCAGGAAGCCGATTCGCTGGTTCTGTCTGGCGGAGGTGACGACGGAAGCCGATCGGGCGCGGAACGAGCTGCAGGTTCATCAGATGGACGGTCAGACGGGGACGATGGTTTTCGCGTTAGGTCGGAGCCGTGGATCTTCAACCTGACCGAACTTCCTCCTGATTCGACGGCTGCGCGTTTGTCAGAGGAGAGTAAGGAGAACATCTGGCTGCTGCATCAGAAGGATCCGGGTCATTGGAGCGTCGCACGGCTGGCTCGCGAGTATCGCGTGCGACAGCAGCGAGTGCATGCGATCCTGTGGCTCAAGAATCTGGAGAAGAAGATGGAGGAGGAGCAAGGCAAGCCTCTTGATGACTCCATCGCAAAGGAGTTTGAGAAGCAGCATGGGTTGGTGTCTTGCCCTTGTCGTTTATCAAATTCTGATTTTACGAGCTTGAGCGCGTGTGTAACTGTCTTCTCACGTGGTCCTTTAATTCCCCCGTTTTTTTTCCCCCTTCCAATCACCGTCTTCAATTCTGTCACCTTTGTCCCTGCATTTTCCCCCTTGCTTCTTCAACTGTGTCTCCTGTCTGCTTCAGTTCCTACGACAAGGCAGTGGGAGAGCGGCATGTGAAGATCTACCCGAGTGAAGCCGTGGACTCGCTTCCAGAGGGGCCGGAGAGAGTGAAGCTGCTGCTACAGGAGTCTGAAAAGGAGGAAGTGTGGAAACTGGACGAGTTTGTCAAGAGAATGGAGTTCAACAAGAAACAGGTACTTGTCTCATGTGCACTTGATTGTGCACACACACACACACACGCACGCACGCACACACGCACACGCACACCCCCACATGTACATGCACATTTGCATGTGGACACCCACTCGCACATAGCAAATGGCTGTTTTCATTGTTAATTATCATCCGCTGCATCATTCTGTAAATGCTGGACTTTTGTATTCCTAACATTTCCCTCCACTTGCACATCCTCCCTTTGCTAAAAACTCTCTGACGTTCTGCTCCAGATGGCCGATGGCCCAGTTAAAGTCAATGCCATGGAGCGCCGCAGGCCTCCAAATGGCTGGACTTACCTCGTGGAAGAGCTTGGGGAGGCTGGCCGACGCGGTCGCGGTGGAGGCTATCGCTTCGTGGTTGAGCCAGGTGCCCGGCGGCGTGGTTTAACTGCCTTGGAGAAAGAGTTCCTAGAACGAGAGACCACACGTAGGCGCCGCCGTCTCATTCCAAAATAGGGAGCAGTCTTCCAATCCAATTCAGGTTTTAACCCTTTTCATGTTTGCATAATATGTTTCAGTAGAAAACTGAATCTTGATCATTCACTAACATGCTCTCAAAGAGAAAATGTGATTGTAACTTGTAAGGATCTCTACAGCTCCGCGCTTCTCTCCACTATCACGGTCATCAAACGTCCAGTTTCCCGCAAAACCTCGGGAGCAGTTCCTTTCTCTTTTCGCGCCGGAAATTCGGTGCCTCATTGGCTACGACCTGGTTCGGTCCAGTTCGGTGGGCCATGTAAACAGAGGAATCTGACACAAAACTCCAGGCAGGTCAGCCAGACTGAACCCCGCCCCGAGTCGCTAGTTGTAGGCTGAGAACCTGTTTTTCCGCCTCAACAATCTCGCTTCTTAGCCTAGGCTTCTGCTCTTGCAGAGTCGAAGCACACTGAATCTTATCATAGTAGAACTCTTCGCTGATCTGCGTAAAAGCAGCTTCGGATGATATACTGCATTTAATCCCCCAGTGTATGATAGTTGTCATTCGACTTCTTGGTGCTGGACTGATCTTTCATACTGTATCATCTTCTTGTTTCGAAGTTGGTCATTCTGCCGTTGATGATCCACTGGCTCACTTCTTGATGGCGGATGTACTGTGGCCTCACGCGTGTTGCTTGGCCATTCTCTGATTGGCTGTTTTTGTTACCGTCACGTATCTTTTGATATAGAAACGACATTGAAAGCCTTCAGAACAAGCTGTTACTTGAAGAGCCGACATGAGGTCGCTCAAAGGAAAGCATGTGGTCATTACCGGAGGTTCAAGTGGAATCGGCCTTGCATGCGCTAAGCAATACTATCGCGAGGTACTTTCTCTTTAGGCCAGCTGCCGCTCTCCTGCATATTTTCCTAGAGGAATAAAGTTGTCCCTTTTTCTTTCTTACAGAATTGGTTCTGGGGAAATTGGAGTTTCTCTTCCTCTGACGTATTCCGCAGGTTTCCTTTAATTGTGACGTGTGAATACCACAGGGTGCTAGTGTGACATTGATAGCTCGAAATCACAAGAAGCTGGTTCAAGCAAGGAAAGAGGTGGAAGCTTGTCTTGACAACATAGCATCCCCTTCAAGCAACACCAGGGCCACGCTCATCTCCCATAATCCGTGGGTATCGATTAAGGTTCGTCTCATTTGTCCCTTGAATTCATACTATTTTTTAGAATAAATGTCTCTACCTTTATATTTGAATGGTTTCCGTACGACATGCCTTTGTAACTTGTTTTTTCATACATTTTCCCTGCATTTTCCTTACAATTCCAGTCGGTGGATGCTACTGACCCGGCGGCTATCAAGGCAGCGATCACATCAATAGACGAGGAGTGCCCGATTGACGTTCTGCAGTGCAACGCTGGGATTGTGAGGACCGGATTTGTGGAAGACATATCGGCTGAAGACGTTCAGTCTCAGGTTCACACCAACTTCCTGGGGAGTGTCTACCCAGTGCAGGCTGTACTCCCAAGCATGAAGGCTCGGGCCGAGGCTGGGGAGGAGCCTGGTGCTATTGTCTTCACGTGCTCTCTAGCAGCCCTGGTGAGCCTTTCTAATATTCTTATTCGTCCATCAAGCTGCCCTTACGATCCGACTATTCCATCTATCACGGTTTGCGGTGCTGCTCTCAGTATAGCGGTGCTGCTGTAGTCTGATCCTGATACTCGTTTCCGCTTTGTTTTACAGAGCTTTTGGTATGGAGCTTCGATATATACTGCCACTAAGTATGCAGTCAGAGGATTTGCGGAGGCTTTGCGGCTTGAACTTCTCCCGTACAACATTCAAGTGTCACTGATATGTCCAGGCTTCACAGACACAGCACTACTCGATGATGGTGAGCCAATCTGCCTTCGCTCCACCCATTTGCACTTTCTTTGTCACCTCGACATCTTACAAATGCTTTCACACTCCTCACTGTCCTGAATCCCCTTTCACCCCAACCAGCTGAGTTCACTGGCAAGCATTTAACCAGGTCAATGAAAATTGCATGCTTCTACGACCGCAACAACGTCGAAACTCCAGACTCCATAGCCCAATGCACCATAGCGACGGTTCGCTCTGGGGAGTTTTTAGTGGTTACGACCCATGGCATTGTCCCACGGACGCTGTGCTCCCTGTCGAGAGGGATTTTTCCATCCAACAACATCTTCATGTGGCTGTTTGAGATTATCTGGGCCTTCGGCTCTAGGATTGTTTCACTGCTGGTCCGTGTGCTCATCTTCTCTGGATTGCGGGCCATCCACAGGCAGCAGCAGCAGGAGCAACGGCAGCATGAGAAGGGGTCTCAGCAGCCAGCAGGGAAAAAGAGGAGTGCGGCCGTGTCATAGAAACCCATCGAAGTCTAATGGCTAATCAGCATGGCAATATGCTGCAGGTCCATGTGCCATGATGCTGGTCCTCCAAGAGCCCGTCTAACACATTGGTCCAAGTCCACTTCTTTGGGCAACCTACTAACACGTTACACGTACCTTGTCAGGCAAGCCTTGATATACTACTAACAACAATTTGTACGTTATAAGGCAACCATAATGTACCTGGACAGTTGAAGGGGATGTTATTCTCGTCTGAAGACACGTTTTATTTGATTCAATGTGCCGTGTACGGTACTCATCACTTTATGGACAAACAAGCAGTGAGAGGGCATACGCTTCAGCTACGCATCTCTACCAGGACTACCAGAGTGTCATTTATGAATTCGACGCCATATTTGTCGCGAGGACTGCGGTAAGTTTTCATACATTGAAGTACCGCGCACCAGCAGCAGTGAGCAGTGTTTGGCCAAATCAGCTGATTCTCCAAGTCAATGTTCCATCTATGTGGCTCATGCAAGCTGCGCTGAGGACATTTGCAGGCTAGTCTGATGGTATCAGCACTGTAAGAGGAAGGCTGTGTTCATAAATACCGGTATATGGTACCGTGCACTGCTCACCCTCCGCCTCCAGTGATCTGTACCAACTAATAGCAGGCTATTTACTATTGATCGCGTGAAATAGCGGTTGCAGGCTATATGAGTAAGGGATATGTGGTGGCGCCTCAATTCCACATCAATCACACTGGTTACTTACACGTCATGGGAGGTTGACCGCATGATACTGGGACCAATAAAGAAGTTCTTTTGTACAGCACGGAGAAGGCGATCTGGGGACCAACGATACGATGGGATGTTTGTCAATATGTCCCTGTTTGATGGAGGTAAGATATTGGGAAGCCAAAGTAAAAGGGGACGTGTTCTGGCTGACTGACTGAGAAACATACAGAATTGAGGCCATTCAATGGCCACCTGAGGGCATGCATACATGCTCATTGAGAGAGCGTACACACTCATCTTTGTTGCACATGCATACATGAGTGCATGTGTGTGAATTGCACACGTGGGGGCATAAGCACAACTGGAAGGAGGGGTTGAGGTACCTGTGTGGAATGAGAAAGTTCTTGTATTTGTCATGCAGCGTTGTAGCCAGAAGTTGTCGAATGTTCCTGTGTGTGCTGATGTGCACTATGTTCCAGCTGCCCTGGAGCAGTGCCAGCTCCTCAAAGGCTGCATTGAATCGCTTCAACCTGTCAAGGGGTACCACGCCGTTTTAGTGCTACGTAGGTAAGCAAGCGTAGGGCAGGACATGTTTTGAGAAATTATTTGCAAGGAGACAAGATCCAATTCACTGACCTGATCCTGAGCTCCTGTGCATTGAGCTGGAAACTGGCCTCCATGCAGAGAAGGTGAGAGCATATCTGAAAGCATAAAGAAGGCAGTGCATGGAAAGATATATGCTGGTAAGTGGTATCTGTGTGGATGATATGGTTGGCTCTGCATTGCCAGGGCCACAGAACTAAATAGCATCGTGCAAAGGGAGCTGTAGGAATATGCACTCCCAATACATTAAAAAGCTTACCTTGACAGTGATGGCGTCTATAAAGGCCAGTTCACACTCCTTAAGCCGCTCGGACTGCTTCATAGCCTCCTTCATGCTCGTGCTTGCACTGAATAGAAAGCAGAGACCATGAGACCATGAGAGCATGAGTGCAGAGCAATGGATAGGTCTATTCATAACACAGAAATCATTGGACCCATGGGCGAGTTGCTAGATATAGCATGAACAGAGCCATGCACTCACAGAGAGTTGGAGACATAGGCAGTGTTGTTGAGCATGAAGAGAGCAGCAACAGTACGCTCTGCAATGACCTCTGCCCGCACTTCCATGTTGTGGTGCAGCGCCGCTAGAAGGTCACTGATCTCCTCGTTCAGCACTCTTCTTGTGCCTGTCTCCCCTCCCCTTCGCCTGTACACGCTCTCCAGCATGCGCGCATACCGAGAACCGTCTCTGTGGCAGTGAGAGGAGAGAGCGAGGGGGTAAGAAACTGATTTCCTCGTCCAATACTCTTCTTGTGCCTGTCTCCCCTCCTCTTCTCCTGCACACGCTCTCCAGCATGCGAGCATAACGGGAGCCGTCTCTGTGGGAGAGAGAGGTGAGAGCGAGGGAGTAAGGACAAGGTAGATGACGGAGGGGAGATTGAAACAGGGGGTTGGTTGGACGAGAAAGATGCGTGTGTGCTTGTAAGGTTGGTGCGTGTGTGATAGCATGCTTGGTTATTGCATACAGCTACTCACTCAATTCTATGTTGGTTAGTACCACTCATGTTCTGATCACATGGCCATTCCCAACCTCTCAGTAACATGGTCAAGCCTCACTTGCGTAGCAGCTGGTTGACGTAGTTGACAGTGTAGCTGGTGATAGCATGCACTGACACATCCGTTTCTTCCCTTGGCCTCTCTTCCGCTGGTGCCTTCCACAACCTGCCACAGGTCGGACAGAAAGCATTTTGCAGCTTTTTAACGGGGATGCACACATCGCGGTAAAAGGGCAAGGACCAAGAGTGGATTGGGTGCTCAGACTGCTTTCCAAATCTTTATCTCTCCCCGTTCCACCTTCTTTCACTCCTGAAGGTGCAATGCGGAAAGGCAGTAGCTACGGTGTATAGAGCTGCACCCACACCGTTCAGATTTCCCTTGGGAACGTCTCAACCTACTCATATTCTCTATTCCGATTTCACCCCCGTTTCACCTACCTGAAAATCTTCTGTGCAGACCGTGGCGATGCTGCAACAGCCATGGCCTGCTGCGCCGCACCCACATCGTTCAGCCTCTCCTTGAGCTTATCGATGGACGCTATTGCTGCTGATGTCAGCAGTTTTGGCAGCTTCTTCCATTGCTCATGGGCTTTTTCCATGCCTGCTGCCATCAGCACATCTTCCATCTGCATAGGTGAGTGAGCGGAGGAGGGAGGATCAAGCAAGGGAGGGCGAGATTGCTTTTGAGGCGCCTTGGCGATCTCAAAAGAACATATTCCATCCATCCATCAGTTCCGGTGGAATATGTTCTTGTGAAAAACTGCTGTCACAAGAACATATTCCACCGGAACTGATGGATGGAGAGAAGAGGTAAGTACAGCAGGAGAGTGGGATTGTTTCTGATGCACCATCAATCAGAACAGAAAAGCTGCTGTTCTTCCTTACCCTTATCTTTTGAGATCATGTCTTGGTAACTCACTCACCCACCCACTCACTCGCTCACCTGTGACCCAAGGTCCTGGGTGGTCTGAATCATATCCAGCAGACTGAACAGCTTCTCTGGCTGCTCATCAGACGAGCAGATGGCAGCAGCGTTAACGCACAGCAGATGCAGCGCCTGCTTCAGCGCTGCTGCACAGTGTGTAAGTTTGAGACGCCTAAAAGGTGCTAACTAGACACACACACACACACTCACACTCGCTCACCTGTGACCCAAGGTCCTGGGTGGTCTGAATCATATCCAGCAGACTGAACAGCTTCTCTGGCTGTTCATCAGACGAGCAGATGGCAGCAGCGTTGCCGCACAGCAGGTGCAGCGCCTGCTTCAGCGCTGCTGCTCGCCGCACGACGCGGCGGAAGGAGCGCGTGGAGAGGTTGTGGGAGAAGAGGAACACGCTGTCGCAGAGGAAGCGCTCCGCTACTAGCAGCACGTCCATCTGCGATGGGATGTGATGGGAGGGGAGGGGGTATGTGATGGGAGGGGAATGGGTAAGCTTGAGTGTGGAGCCACAGTGCTCAAGGGTTTCCACAAGGCTTTACTTCACATGGCATGCCACAACCAGACAGCTTTACCCGCACTCACTCACTCACCCACTAACCCGCTCACCCACTCACCAGCAGGTAGTGGGCATGCCACAGAAACCTAACCTAACATATAGCTGACAGTCACCACACCACTCACCAGCACCTAGCTATCTCGCACCCAGCTCTTGAGAGAGGCCTCCCACAGGAGTGAAAATGCCAGCTAATCTTGTGATAGTGGCCATGTCACACCAAACTAAGGCTGATCGTCACCATCACGCTCACCAGCAGGTAGGGATTTCGCACCCGGGCCTTGAGAAAGGCCTCTTGGGAACTCCAGGGCAGGGCAGAGAGGGCACTGAGTTGACTTCTGAGTCGACTGAAAGTCAAGCTGACAGTTGCCACTGCACTCACCAGGAGGTAGGCATCTCGCACCCAGGCCTTGAGAAAGGCCTCTTGGGAACTCCAGGGCAGGGCGGAGAGGGCAGGGGCGCGCACTTCCCCCATCTCCAGAGCTGCTATGGCTGCTTCGAGGGCCGCTGCCCGCAGTGTGCTGTGAACAACGGGAGGTATACAGTGCGCAACAGAGGGTGGAGGGAAGGAGGGCGATATGGATAATAAAAGACAACAAAGGGTGGGATGGGCAGGGGCGCGCACTTCCCCCATCTCCAGAGCTGCTATGGCTGCTTCAAGGGCCGCTGCCCGCAGTGTGCTGGGGAGGGGAAGTGTACGGGGTATAAGAGAGGGTGGAGGGAGGGAGGGCGGAGGAAAAGAGGACGGAATGAAGAAGGGCGTGCTGCTACCGCTTTCTCCGGATTCCTAGAGAGAAATGGGCGCGTGTAAAGAAGGGCTGCAGTGGTAGAGGGTGAGGATGGTGTTACGGGTCGAGGAGTGTGGTGGGGCAAGAAAGGGAGACGTTTTGAGCCGTTTCAGAACGAGGATGGAGGTGGGGTAGAGAATAGTGATATGGAGAGAGGGAAACACAGACTAGGAAGACGGAAAATGTGGGGCCCACACTACGGGGACAAAGATAGAGAGACGGCTGACAACATGGGTCGTGCAGTTGGTGTCAGGTAATAGAGAAGCAGCAGGCGGGTGGTGCATTTGCAAGGGACCAATAGGTGTGACATAAATGGAGATTAAGGGGCAGATGGAAAAAAACAAGGAAGCGTGGGAGGGGAAAAAAAAAAAAAACGGGTGAGAGGAGAGAGAGAATGCATACCAGTACTCAACCATGCACTCCTTTGCTTTGCTGCCCTCTGCTAGCTGCTGAGCGATTCTTTCCAGAGTTGGTACTGCCTTCACAGGCAGCCATGGCACCAGCTGCTGCTGCCCGTCCTCCTCCATCCCCCCTCCTCTCTCACTCCTACCCACTGCTCCTCCTAATCCCACTCCCCCAATCCCCCTTGGTCTCGCCAGAGGACCAGACTCCCCCTTCCGTGCTCTGGCTCCCCCTAAAAGGGGAAGAGGCTCCGCCCCCCCAGTTCCTGCTCTCAACCCCCCTGCCCCTGCCCCTCCAGAAGCATCTCCTGTTACAGTTACATTCGTTCCAGCCTCGACACTTAGCCCTCCTCTCGTACTCCTTCGAGGTACAACGGTGAAATTCGCTGCAGCGGACTGAGACCGACCATGCCTGGTGGCTCGGCTCTGCCAAGCCTGACTTGGCAGGTCCGGGAGCGGATACAAGTCCTCTTCCTCCTGAACCTGCTGCCGATTCCTCTCCTGCTGCTTCTTCTGCTGCTCCCTCTCCCGACGTGAGAACCGCCGTGCGCCCTCCACTGCTGCGGCTGCATCTGATTCGGCCCGAGCTAATTGAGAGCTTCGGTTCTTCCGAGCGTGGATCGCAGACACACCACTCACAATAGACGCAGGTCCGGACATCTGGACTGGTGAGGGCAGCAGGTTCGGGATGTCTTCTGCAGCTGCCCGGGTGCTTCGGGACACCGAAGCAGAGCTTCCCGAGCCTGATGTGTCTGAGAGAGGAGAGAACGTGAAATTGGAGGAACCCCCCCCATCTTCCTCCTCATCCCCATTTGTAGCAGCCTCGTTTTGAGCACAGGCATAGTGGTTTCCGCTAGCATTTGCCCCCATCCTTGCATGGGATTCTGCTGCAAAGGTATCTTCTACTTCCACAGCTTCTAATTCCACAAAGAGGGGATGGGGATGGGTCTGCTTAGGGGATATGAGCTCAGGGATGCAGGGAATCTCCACATGTGGAGTGCTGAAACGATGCGCTGGACATTTCCCTGCTGCCGCCATCACTGCTGCTGCTACTCCTCCCATTCCTTCTGCACTTCCTTCTCCTCCACCTGCTGTCCCGTCCCTTCCAGCGGCCACAGCAGAAGGGTTGGAGTTGGGGGAGACCTGGGGGCTACGGTGGCACACACCGAAGGCTGCATGCAGGGGATCACGCGCAAACAGATCGTCTGACATCGTGCGCTTATGCACACTCGCTTCCTCTTCTGTCATCTCTCCTTCCATGCCACTCCCAGAAGCTTTCCCTTTGCTGCCAGTCCATGATGCCGCATCTCCTCTTCCTCTACCTCCTCTCCACCCTCTTCCTCCTTCCCCTACTCTTTCCACATTCCCTCCACTCTTCTCTCCCATTTCGCCTGCAAATGCCGCTTCCTCTGCAGATGCAGCCTCCTCTTCCGCAGCTGCTGCTGCTGCTGCTGCCGTTGCTGCCAGTTTCCCAAAGGGATCCAGAGTGATGGGCGGCCGAGAGGACAGCTTCTTGAATCGCTTCACAAGTGCACTGTACATGGGGTTGACCGCTCTGCTGGTACCTCCCCCACTGCTGCTGCTGCTGTTGGGGCTGCTGTTGCTGTTATAATTGTGAGAAGCCCTCGCGTTGTTGCTTGCTGCTGCTGCTGCTGCTGCTGCTGCTGCTGCTGAGGCCGTCGGTGCTGCTGCTGCACTGTAGCTCTCCTCCTCATCATCAATAGAAGATAAGCTCTTGCTGTAACGCGAATTGCTTATGCTGTGTCCACTGCTCATCCCACCAGAATCAGCAGCAGCAACAGCAGCAGCAGCAGCAGCAGCAGCAGCAGCAGCAGCAGCAGCAGCAGCAGCCCCAGTACCAAGAGCATCATCACCAGCAGACACAGAGCGGGGGAGAGGCGAAGCAGATCGGACACTGAGGTCCAAAACACCCTTCGCCATCGGCACCTCAAACGCCTTGCAGTGCTTCACCAGGCTATCCTTGAACTCCTCTATAAGCATCTCCATGCATCGCTCTATAAGCATGTCCACATCACCCAACACCTTCATCACCTCCCCTTCACTCCCAGGACGCAACCGCCCAAACCCTAACCCTAACCCTAATCTTAATCGTCCTAACCCGAAACCCTCGCTCCCAGCCGGTCCTCCTTGGTGATCTCTAAACCCGTTTAGATCACCGCTGTTTACTGCTGCTGCTGCCGCTAGAGCTGATCCGAATATGGTCGGAGGCTGACTGGCTCTCCTCCCCAGCTTTTTCTTCATCACACCTGCGAATCCTGCTTCTTCCATCGCTCCTCCTCCTGCTTCTTCCCTCCCTCCCGTTTGATCATCACCATAGCTGGCAGCAGCACCACTGGTGCTGCCATACCCTTTAGTCCCCCACATTCCCATGTCATCTCTGCTGCTCTCCCCGCCTTCGTAATATTCCGCCTTCCTTCCCCCGAAGCCTTCACCCGCTATCCCCCCCACTCCTCCAGCAGCCCCTTCTTTGTCGTTTAGCCGCGCGCGCAGGGCCTTCTGGATGGCACAGAGGCGGGCAGTGCCGCCCAGAAAGGTGTCCAGCTGCCAGCGCGGACCGACCGCCATCACTGCATTCAGCTGCCCAGGTAGCAGGGGGACGGGGACGGGGGAACGGGGCAGCGCGGGGAAGTGGGGTGTGATGAAGAGGGGGAAATGGGAGAAGGGAGGGTAGTGCGTGTTGGGGTTTCGTGAAAGCATACTCACGTGCCCATTTACCAGCGCAGCCCGACCGACACCACTGCATTCAGCTGCCCAGGTAGCAGCGGAGGGGTTCAGGGCGAGGGGAGCGGAGAGGGGGAAGCGAGGAGGGGGGAGCGGGAAGGGGGAATTGGGGGACGGGGGGAGGAATGGGATGGGGGAGAAAAGGGGAAATGGAGGAAGAGAGGGAGGAGGTGGAGGGAAGAGGGGGAGAGTGTGTTACGAGTGTGGAGGATTTGTGGTGAGTGGTGCGCTCAATTAGCGTTCTTACTACATGTCAAGTAGGGTTCCGGAAAACCGTAACAAATGGCATTTATCTTGCTTTTCCCTGTCTTTTCCCTTCATTTTCCTACACCGCTTCCCCCGCAGCAGCAGGGCAGTGCGGCGATCGCATGCGGCGCATGGGGAAAGCAACGCACCTCGTGAAGGATGGCCTTCGCTTCCTCGGCTATCGTGCGGTTCGGAGCTAGCTTGCGCGTCCATGACGGCTCTTCCATTGACGAATGACGACGGCGCACGTCGCCTGATGGCCGCGTCGGCGACTAAGGTAAGCGATACGCGAATATGTGCGAGAAGAAAGAAAGTTCGCTTGGACACGACAACAGGAACCTACTCTCCCCTTTGGACAGAGGTGAGTGCAAATCCGAAAATAACGAGTCAGAAAGAGAGAGCCACGGGTCTAGGTTATGGTTCGGACAGCCATGAAACTACGCGAAGAGAATGTAGGCACGCGTCTTGGTTAAAGACATCTCGGATCGCAGTGTTCTAGCACAAGACGTGGGCGCGAAACTGCACGAGCAGTTCCAGCTATCAGGATGAATGAGTTGGTGACTACTTGGGTGAGGTGGGAGGTTGTTCGTGTGGTGCGTGTGGCCCAAATCATTGGCAGGTTGGTTTGATTCTGCGCTGCTCTGACAGAATCAAATGTGATCGAGCGCGGTTGGAAGTTGACCACAGCAGGCTTTTGCGGAAACGACGGCGAACAGAAGTTCGTAGTCGGTGCTGTCTCGTTGACGAATAAAGGCGTGCGAACCTGGTTACTCGACAGCTGGGTCCATGTGTGAAAGGACCAGGTTTGATTCGGTCAAGCTGGCTCAGTTGTTGAAACTGCGGTGTCTCGATTGCGTATCAACATACGAACGGATTAGGACGTGGGCCCAAACGGATTAGCAATATGAGAGTATATATGCGCCAAACAAAAACATCTTATTCAACAGTAGTCATAGCGGAGCATTCAGTATCGGAGTATGCTCCAACGGATTTTACAAGGACATATCATCACATTCAGCACCGCATCATCCGCTCCGCACATTCCAGCTCAGTTTCCAGGGTAATCTCAGCCGTTCCTGTTCTCAATTACCTTAGTCCGTGAGCACTTTACAGGTCACTCTTGCTTCTTCCCGACTCGCTCACATGGCAGTAGCCCGAACAACCACCGACCGCCATCTCTCAATTCAGCATCCTCAAGGCGCCATTGAGGCGCCTCGAAGCCTTAGAACCTCAACAATTGGGAATACGGCAAGCCCGATTGGATTGAATCCCCTTCTTTCTGGTGTCTCCAAGAGTTTCGGCATCGGGCGTTCCGATTGGATGGCTCGTTCTTGCCCTCCCGCAGTTAGAAGCACGAAGCTCGATGGCGGCTGTTTTTGGGTGGATTCAGGACGGTGCATCCAGCTCAGACGAGCCACTTCAATGCACCGCGCAACCAGCCGTCGACGGCAAGTAGTGGTCCTCCAACCGTGAAAGACTGTGGTCCCGCTTACTTCTTTCCCAACAGCGTCGTCCAGCCACTCTTTCGTCGCAGCAGCACGCGCATTTCTGTGCGTGAACGCAAGGTCACCTTCCGTCCCACGAGTCACTCGTTCCATTGCCGACAGCCATCCGAAAATCCTCCCTTCTCTCCACCATTTAACACGCAGTAACTCCTGCGGCAGCCACCTCTTCTCCACCATTGATCAAAGAGTCCCTCCTGCACTTCCACCCTTCTCCCCCCTATCCCCGCATCTCAGGCTCTCGCTTTCCTCTCCTAGTGCACCCCAAGGGGTTCTCTTTGAATCTTGGGGCGTCCCTCATAACCAGTGCTCTGCAGAAGCTGCATCATTCTCTGGCGCCTCTGAAGCCACAGTTCGTGCCCGTTCTAAGCCGTTCTGACCCAGCTGGGTAAATCGTAGAGAACAGCCTACTATGGAAGGCTTTTCCACTGCTGATTTACACTCACGAGGAGGCTACTATCGGGTACAGAGACTCCCATCCCTGCAACACCGCCCTTTGATCCAGCAGCAGAGGAAGCTTATGAAAAACGATGGAGCGTTTCACGTCCTTTTGCGGTCATGCACCGCTGTGCTGTGCGTCTTGCTTGCTGTTGCCGCTGCTGCTGCCGCAGAGCGAACCCACGGATACAGCGCAGCGGTGGGATCACAGGGGCAGGGCGCAGCAGTGGGGTCACAGGGGCAGGGCGCAGCAGTGGGGTCACAGGGGCAGGGCGCAGCAGTGGGGTCACAGGGGCAGGGCGCAGCAGTGGGGTCACAGGGGCAGGGCGCAGCAGTGGGGTCACAGGGGCAGGGCGCAGCAGTGGGGTCACAGGGGCAGGGCGCAGCAGTGGGGTCACAGGGGCAGGGCGCAGCAGTGGGGTCACAGGGCCATGGTGCAATGGGTGCCGCACGTGAGGGTGGGTACTGGCACGGCATGGGCATGGCTTCACGGTTCCGCCTCGTGGACGATACCCCCACATCTTCCACTGCTTCTGCTGCTGCAACTACTGCTGCTACTGCTGCTGGTGCTGGTGCTGCATCCTCCACGCCAGCTGCTGCTGCTGCATCTTCGACCACTCCTTCTGCATCCTCCACGCCAGCTGCTGCTGCTGCATCTTCGACCACTTCTTCTGCATCCTCCACGCCAGCTGCTGCTGCTGCATCTTCGACCACTCCTTCTGCATCCTCCACGCCAGCTGCTGCTGCTGCATCTTCGACCACTCCTTCTGCATCCTCTTCTCGCTCCCCCTCTTCCCTCACTCCCCCCACCCTTCGACCCGCCTCCTCCTTGCAACCATCCTCCTCCTCTCCCTCCTCCTCCCGACCAACCTCCTCCTCCTCTCCCTCGTCCTCCCGACCCTCCTCCTCCCGTCCATCCTCCCCTGCCTCCTCCCGATCCTCCTCTGCAGCTTCTCGATCCACCACATCAAACCCATCTGCCACGTCAGCATTAGATTCTGCTCCTGCAGAAACCACTGATCCCCCTTCCCCCAAGCTCCCCTCTTCCAACAGGGGACCCACCTCAGCATCCGCCCCCCCGCCTGTAGCCCCTGAGCCTGCCTTTTCCTCTCTCTCTCCCTCCCCTTTTGCGTCCGAACCGGCCCTCCCTCCGCTTATATCAGAACCGATCGCATCCCCCCCTCTCTCCCTCCCACCCTCCCCCCCTCCTCGCTCTTCCCCTCGCCCCCGTCGCCGCCGCCAGCCCCCTCCCCCACCCCCTCTCGAAGCCCCAACCCTTGCCCCCGCCCCTTCCCCCGAACTCCCCCTTGCCCCTGCCCCTGCCCCCGAATCCCTCCTTTTCCCCTTCCCCGCCCCCGCCCCTTCCCCCGCCTCCACCCCTGCACCCGCCCCATCCCCCTCCCCCTCCCCCTCCCCGGCCCCCGCCCCCGCCCCTCTCGGCCAATCACTGCTCACCAGCTCAGCAAAATGCCCCGGGATTATCATCGACTATCGCATACTATCTCTCACGCCCATCCCCTTTGCCGGAGCGCCTGCGTTCCGATTCACCTCCAAGGTTACTCTCTCTAATGTGGGCCCCAGACCACTCAGGAAGTGGGCACTCTCAATTGGGTATGTGAATCAGGAGGCAATTGGGGAGGTGGATGGCGCAGTTGTTCCTGCAGGCGTGCAGCTGCCAGTAGCAGGTGAGCTCATAACGAGTACATACATGATACATGCATACACATACAAATACTGGGCGCGGTAATGGTTCCTCCACCCGTACCCGTCTTGTTTAGCGCCCATACAATGCTCACTCCAGTGCTCTCGGTCGTTTCTCAAACATTGTCCTCTCTCGGACCTTACCTCTCGTTCGCATTTCCTTCTGCACGCTTCAACTCCTCCCCGCATGCCTTGTTCGCTCTGGCTGGTTCTTCTTCTGTCAGGCAACGGTCTGGAGCTCTCTAGTCCGCCAGGGGGCGCATTCCTGCTCACAGCCGTCCAATCAGGGGGCGACAAGCGGCGCTACCAGCACTTGGTACAGCTGGCGGGCACAGAGGTCGCTGCCACGTCAGCAGCAGCCGCACTGCCCAGGACCATATCTTTAGATGCTGCTGGGTTTACCTGCAGCGACAAACCCATGCTCTCAGGTGTGAGGTTTGGGATTAGCATTATTCGCTTACATTGTTCTAGAGCACCTGTAACTATCTCTCTGGATTCTACCATGTTTACCTGCAGCGACAAGACCCCATGCTCCTAAGTGGAGAAGGTGAGCTCATGCTCCTAAGTGGAGAAGGTGAGCTCATGCTCCTAAGTGGAGAAGGTGAGCTCATGCTCCTAAGTGGAGAAGGTGAGCTCATGCTCCTAAGTGGAGAAGGTGAGCTCATGCTCCTAAGTGGAGAAGGTGAGCTCATGCTCCTAAGTGGAGAAGGTGAGCTCATGCTCCTAAGTGGAGAAGGTGAGCTCATGCTCCTAAGTGGAGAAGGTGAGCTCATGCTCCTAAGTGGAGAAGGTGAGCTCATTACCACCACTTCTTCCCCTGGTCATCTTGGCCCTATGCCCACCGTCCAGCTTCCGTCTTGCTTCGCCACATCTCCCCCCCTCATTTCCTCACCTAACTGGCCCAATTCCCTTTTCCACACCGTCGATACCCCCCTCTTGCACCCCCCATTTGCTGACCTTCCAGGCTTCTTCATATCCTCGCTCGCCCCCAGCCCCTCCTACACCTGCATCTGCCTAATTGCCCCCATCCCCTCTTCCCGACACCCCTTTATCTCCCTACCTCCTTCCCCCGATCCCCCAACCCCTCAAATCCCGTCCAGCCTTCTCTAACTCATCGCTCGCCCCCAGCCCATCCTGCACTGCAACTGCTCCTCCTCCAACACCAGCCTTCGTTCCCCAATCTCTCCCCCCCCTCCACACCCCCTCTGCCTCCCCCCCACTCCCCCCCAGCCTTCTTCAACTCATCGCTCGCCCCCAGCCCCTCCTGCGCCTGCGGCTGCTCCTCCTCCAACACCAGCCAGGGCGGCGGCCAATGCGACGCCGCCACGTCAGCAAGCACGGACCCCGCTGCGACAGTGCTATTGGGCGAGGACCTGGCGGGGCTGGTGGTAGCGGGGCAGAGCGAGGGGGTGAGTAGATGATGGAAGAAGAGTTGTAAGCTTTGAATGTGGACTCAAAACTCTGTCTCATCTCACGTGGAAGAGGAGTGACAGGTTCAGGTAGAGGAGAGGGGACGAGGGGAGTGATGACCTGGTGGGGCTGGTGGTGGTGCCAGGGCAGAGTGAGGGGTGAGGGTAGAATGAGTTGAGCTCTTTGTTCATGCTGCAGCAGCAAGTGTGGTGTCTAGCCACGTACCACTGCATCCTTGCCCCCTCAATCTCTTGCTTCCTCCCATCTCTGCTGTCCTTCCCTCCTTGCTCATCTCTTCTCCCTCTACCCTCCGCCCTACTTCCAACCTCCTCCCTCCGCCAGCCTCCATCCCCCGTCGCCCATTCTCTCTCCTTTTCGAGCTGTGGCACCACCCGTTACATTTTCAAGGCACCTCCAACCTCCCACTCCTCCCTCTGCGCTTTACCCTCCACCTTGCTCCTTCCACCCGTCACCCCTGCTCTCTCCTCTCTCACCAGAGCTGTGGCACCGGCTGTGGCATTCAAGCGCACGTGACTGTATCAGATGCGGACGAAACAGGCTGGACCATGCGCGTGGCGATCTGGAACAGTGCGCCGCCCACGATCAAGAACTGGACGGCAGTCTTGGCGTTCCCCCAGGGCTTTGCGGAAAACCTCCAGGAAGCTTCCTCTGTAATGGCTCGATTCGACTCCCCACCATACGGTATGGCTGGATGTCAAATGCTTTTAGATTGATGTAAGATTCATCTGATGCTGACACATATAAGACACATCAGATGTGCACCGCACGCAACAGTCGTCTTCTCAACTTCCCCACCACTTCGTCCTTTGTGAACGAGTGGTTACTAGGAGACGGCGGCAACGTGCAGTGGACTCTGCGCTTCAACCCTCCTCTCTTTACCTCCGTGCCCCCCCTGTCTGTCCCCCCAACCTACGTCCATTTACCAGGTGACAACCTAATGATATCGGGGCAGCCCACAGTGAACGAGTGGTGTTTTGAGCCGACTCAAAACAAGACTTACCTCCCCTCCCTCCCCAGGTGACAACCTAATGATATCGGGAGAGCCCAGCGTGAACCAGTGGCTACTGGGAGACGGCGGCAACGTGCAGTGGACTCTCCGCTTCAACCGAACACCCAACACAGCCGGGTTCAACGCCACTGGTGGAGACACAGTTGCTGTTAGCTCCTCTGTCTTCCCATTGGCGGTGCTGGTGGGCGGCCAACAGTGCCAGATGCCGGCCTTCTTGCCGACTGCAAAGAGTGCAGGGATGGGCGGGGGCGGGGGTGTGGGAGTGTGGTGGAGCATGGCAGTGGCAGTGGCTGTGTGGGTGCTGCTGTGCTGACATGCGCGCGTTTTTGCCAGCCGCTAAGGGTGCTTGGACAGGCACGGGTGGGGGTGCATGGTGGAGTGTGGCAGTGGCAATGGCCGTGTGGGCGCTGCTGTGTTGACATGCACGCCTAGTTGGTTCAGCATCCACACCGAACCAACGCTTCCTCTAGGCAACCCAATGATTGGTTGGAAAGCGTTTGTGTGTGTAGCCTTGGGTTTTCTAGTGCATTTGTACTTACTGAGTGCTGAACCTTGCAGGAATTTCAAGAATGCAGTCAAGAGAAAGAAGAACATGGAAAACCTTCGTCAGGTTTGACCTGCTTGGTTGCACAAGACACACACAGCCATATACAGACAGCAATTGAGGCCGCAGGGCAAAGAGATACCATAGCACAAACTTGCCATGACATTCCCAAGGTACAAACATTGTTCGGTAATAACAAAAAGCACACTGATCCCCCACCCCACCCAGCTGCCCTTGGGTATCAGGGTCTGGTCCTAGAGATGCTGCAGTTGAGCTGAGCTGAGCTGAGCACCCTCCTCTTGGCCATACAACAGTACCACCCCTGAGTTCCAAGGTGCCTCAAAACAGAGCTAACAGTACGGTACCCCTGGCGTAGTGTGTCATGATTCACGAACCATGATTGCAGCAACAGAAAAACTCGCTCGGTTGCTTTTGGTCACGAGATGACCGGCCGGCCCTGCCGGTGCTGCAGCAGGTACAATACACTCACTAGTCTCACCACATGCCACCCATCTCGGCATGAAGTGCATGACAGGATGGGAGATGAGCAGGAGATGAGATGCTCCTTCAGCAGCAAACCGCTCTCAGCTCCTCTTAGCCATGAGCTCCTGGTCCTGCAGGCGCTGCAGCAGCTGTGACACGGCTTCCTCTCACCAGTGCTACACACCCACGCACCACTTGCACGACATAAATGACTCCCCCCCCCCTTTCTCCCCCCCCCTTTCTCCCCCCCTTCCTCCCCTTCCCCTTACCTCCTCTTGGCCATGAGTTCCTGGTCCTGTAGGTGCTGCAGCAGCTGCCACACCCTCCTCTCACTGGTGCTTCACACCCAGGCACAACAGGCATGTCATGAAACTGAATACCTCCCCCCTCTCCCCCTTAAGTCTTCTTGGCCATGAGCTCCTGCTCCTGCAGGTGCTGCAGCAGCTGAGACGCTTTCCGCTTAGCCCTGGGCGTCCCAGTCCTGAGCAGCAGCTGCAGCGGCGGCACAGCACCGCACTGCACCGCAAGCTCCGTGTGCTCCCGGCCATTCAAGCACAGCGAGAGCAGCACAGAAGCCGCATTCTCCTTGTTTCTCGGAGACCCATCCTTCATCAGCTCCACCAGAATCGGCACTGCGGTCGCCTCTCCTATCGCCGTTCGCCCCTCTGGGGACATCGAAAGGACAGCCAGGATCGCGAGGGCCTCGTCCATCATGCCCGATCGACGGTGCACGAGGAGTTCCACGAGAGGGGCCACCACCCCGGCACGCACAGCCCTAGCCTTATTCCCCTGGTAGATGGACAGGTTGAAAATCGCCGTAGCAGCGTCTTTCTTTCCTCGAGTCGACCCGTGCTGAAGCAGGTCCACCAGTGCTGGTATCGCTCCTGCCTGCCCGATCGAAATCTTATTTTCATCCATGACCGAGAGCGAGAACAGCGCCGCAGCAGCGTTTTCCCGAGCCTCCATGCTGCCTCCTTTCTCCAGAACCCGAACTATGGCGGGGATAGCTCCGGCTGAGACAATCAGGCTCTTGTTCGGGTCGTTGATCGACAAGTTTAGTAACCCGGTAACCGTATGCTCCTGCATTTTGGCATCAGCTGGGAGAGGGTCAGTGAGTAATTCGACCAGGAGAGGGATGACGCCTCCTTCAGCCATTGCAACTCGGTTCTCCACACTTCGTTTTGCCAGCAGCCTTACGTCTACTGCAGCACTCTTCCGAACCTCCAGGTCCGGCGACCGAAGCCGGTCCCGAAGCTGCATCACCTGATGCCGATCCGAGAGCGAAATCTCCGCCGAGCCTCCGTCCCCGGTCCCACCTGCTCCCCCACCAGACCCACCACCCCCACTGCTCCCACCCGCACCCCTACCCCCGCTGCTACCACCACCACCACTGCTGCTGCTCCCATGCTTGCTGCTGTGATGGTGGTGCCTGTGGCCTGACTTGTGTGATCGCTTGGGTAGTTCCACATGATTGGCCTCGCACCATTGCTGGATGAGGCTTCGCAGGGAGAAGTTGGGGATGAGTGACGCGGGCTGAGAGAGGATCTGCTGGGTCTTGGGGCACGTCTTGTGACCCTCCTTCAGCCACTGCTCTATGTACGCCTTGTCGTATGTCTGGAGGGGGGGGAAAGGGGAGGTGGGGAAGGACAAAGGGAGCGAGCGCGAATTGAGGCGGGCTGGGAGAGGATCTGCTGCGTCTTGGGGCACGTCTTGTGGCCCTCCTTGAGCCACTGCTCTATGTACGCCCTGTCGTATGTCTGGAAGAAGGAAAGGGGTTGAGGGAGGAGAGAAGTTGGGGATGAGCGAGGCGGGCTGAGAGAGGATCTGCTGGGTTTTTGGACACGTCTTGTGGCCTTCCTTGAGCCACTGCTCAATACAGGCTCGATGGTACGTCTGGTGGTGAAGAAAGGTGGGGGGAGCGGGGGAGGTTTGGAGTGTGGGAAGGAATTATAGGACGGGGAGGGGGGAGGCAGGGGGAAAAGGGGGATGCATGAAGGAGGGGTGTGTGGGAAAGCGGCATAAGGATGAAGACAAGCATGTGAAAGGGATTATGACACGATGAAGCATCTGAATCTTCATCCAAAACACGCACTGACCTGGCCTGTGGAGACGATCACCGGATCTCTCATAATCTCCAGCGAGATAGGACAACGGAAGTCATCCGGGGGCACCACCAGCCGCCCGGACTTCGACCGCAGCGCCGACCCAGTGCCCACGCCGATGCCGCCCCGATCCACCCCATCTTCCGGATTCCCCTCCTCCCCTCCCGACCCATCCCCACTCCCAGACTTCCTCATTCCACAGCTCCCCTCCTCTCTATCCTCCATCCCTCCGCTTAGACTAACTTTAAGCCGCTCCAGTAACAGTATTATCTTCTCCACCTCCCTCAGTTTCTCATTTTTCCTACTCTCCAAAGCAACCCTACGCTCTGCAACCGCCCTTGAACACATGCTGCCATCCCCTGACTTCCCATCGCCCCCTCTAGAAGAAACAGCACTTTTAAGTGAAACTTGAGACTTGGAAGAAACAGAAGGGTCCTCCTCTTTCCCTCCCCCTCTCCCCCCACTAGACCCTCCCTCCTCCTCTCCTGAGAAGCTCATCTCTGCCCCCTTCCTTAGCTCCTCATTTAGCCGCAGCCTCAGCCGTTCAATTGCGGATTCCCCACCCACACCCCCACCCCCACCCCCTCCGCCTGTCGCTACTGCTGCGTCCGTCTCCTCTATAAGCTGATACCGCGCTCGTTTTAGCAATGCTATTTCCTCCAAAACAGCAGGCAGGGAGATCAGCCCTAGCTTGCCCAGAACCGGGTCTAGTAACCCTGCTTCCACAGAACTTAGCGAGGGTAAAGACGGCAACCGCCCAGCTCCTCCTCCTGCTGCAGACCCTCCTGCCTCTGCTCCTTCGTCTCCTGCCCCACCTGATGTTACCACTGTGATTGTAACACCAGCAGCCGCAGCAGCACCCTTGTTAAGATCCGTGTGCGTGGGAGGGAAGGAGGGGAAGGACGAGAGAACGGCCGGGGAGGGAGGAGGAGCAGAGGGGTGTGGTGACTGCAGCACTGCTGACAGATCAATTATCGGGCCTGAGCCGTCAACTCCCCCCTCGGAAGCAGCAGCAGAGGCAGAGGCGCCGGGTGCGGCAGCAGCAGCAGCAGCGGCGGCGCTGGTGGTGTGGCGGGTGGAGCTGATGAGGGGAGGGCCGCCCAGGCGCGGGTCAGAGAGGATGTGGCGCACGTCGGCGTAGAGCTGCTCCTCCTGCGCGTCGTCCAGTGCCCGGCTGCGCTTCAGCTGCACCTGCACCAGCTGGGTCTGGTAGGGGAAGGGGAGAGACCGAGGAGGGCAGGGAGAGAGGAAGGGAGGATGTGGCGCACGTCGGCATAGAGCTGCTCCTCCTGCGCGTCGTCTAATGCGCGGCTGCGCTTCAACTGTACTTGTACTAGCTGGGTCTGGAGGGGGGGAAGCAGGGGGGAATGCATAGGGGGGACGGCAAGGGAAGGGGGAGGACAGGGCGCGGGTCAGAGAGGATGTGGCGCACGTCGGCATACAGCTGCTCCTCCTGTGCGTCGTCCAATGCTCGACTGCGCTTCAACTGCACCTGCACCAGCTGGGTCTGGCGAGGGGGAACACGGGGAGAGACCAGGGGCGGATAGGAGAGAAGGAGAGGGGGTGCAGAAGGGAGATGGAGACCGGGTGAGGAGAGAATGTGGGGAAGAGTGGAGATGAAGGCGGGGGAGAAGGAATGAGAGCCCCCCTCTGTTTCCCCCCGCCCCCCCCCCCCATCTCTCTTCTTCCGCCTGCTCCTATCTCTGCTCGGAAATGGCTATGGAACATCGCATTCATTCATCTGCTCGCAGGTGGGGTCTCATTCATTTATGTCATGTGACCTCGCCTTGTTCTTATAACATCGCCAGCCTTTGCCTCCTTTGCCGGCTTTTAATATTTTCGCTTGCAATCCTTGCTTGCTGTGAGTCGCCTTTTTCCTTTGGCAAGCTCTTCAAATTCGGCCCCCATCCGCGCCCACCATCCTATTCCCCCCATCCCTTCCCCCACACAACCCCCCCCCCCGCCGCCAAACCCCCGCACCCCCGTTTTCTCGCCCCCACATCCCCCCACCCCCCACATTTTTTTCCTTGCGCGCACCTGCTCCTGAATCTCCCCACCCACCCCACCCAAAACCTCTCACCCCCTCTCCCCAATCACGCACCTGCTCCTGGATCTCCTCCGAGATCGCCATCACGTTCATCGGCAGGTCCGCCAGCGCGCCTTCAGCGCAGGTTCCTCTGTCCCACCCATGTCCCCCCTCCCCCCCCCATACCTTTCCCCCCTCCCCCCTCTCACCTGCTCCTGGATCTCCTCCGAGATAGCCATCACGTTCATTGGCAGGTCCGCCAGCGCGCCGCTCAGCTCCAGATTCACCGCGCGCATGCGCTCCCCCATCGCCTCGCGCTCCATTACCTGCGCGGAAAGGGCGGGGGGAATGGGGGAGCGGGGGGGAACGGGGGGAGACACGAGGGGGGAGTGATGCGCAGTTCCAATTTCACCGCGCGCATGCGCTCCGTCATCGCCTCGCGCTCCATCACCTGCACGCACGCGGACGCGGGGAATGGCGCGGAAGGGGGCATGGGCAGGGGGAAGATGGCGGAGGGGGAAGGGAAGAGGGGGAAAATGACGCGGAAGGGGGACACGAATGGGGAAGCCTTGCTCAGTTCTATGTCGAGCGCGCGCATCCGTTGCGCCATTGCCCCACGGCTCATCGTTTCCGCAACGCGCACAGCGCCGGGGAAGCAATGAGAAGCGTTGAGGAGCGAAAAGTGACAGAGACGGCGATAATGGAGGAGATTTCAGACGCGAAACTTCAGAGCGGCGCGAGGCGTGGGGCTGAGCGACACGGGGGAGAGCGGGGAGCGCGGGAAAGTAGGAGATGATGCGGCGGGAAAGCGAGGACGCAGGAAGGTGATGCGATGCGAGGAGCAAAGATAGAAGCAGCAGCAATGGATAAGGAGAGAGGAGCAACGGTACAACACTGATTGTTCAGATGAATAAGGGAAGAAGCGGAGGGAAGGGATGCGAGGAGCAACGATAGACATGGTCGATTGACCGTACAGATGGATAAGGGGAAGAAGGGGGGTAAGGCATACTGACCATCCAGATGCGGCTTCCGCTGCTGCAGTCAACGAGAATGGTCTTCGCGGCGCTAAGCGCGGCCCGCATGCTCTGAAACGCCACGACCGCCGCCGCCGGCAGCGGGCTCTTGACGTCTCTAATCTCCTCGAAGAGCGGTGCGAGCAGCTTGATCCGGCGGATGAGAATCTGACACGAGCGCTTGTGGCTGCGCAGGCGATCGCCGAGCGCGGAGATCTCGTTGATGATGGAGAGTAAGGAGCCCACTAATGCCATCGATGATGACGTGGCCATCCGCGTCGACGACATGGTGATCGATTGCGGATAATACGGGCACAAATGCTTCTGTAGTTGGCTCGAATCTTCTTGTTTCGTTGGTTCGGATGCTTCTGGGGCTGGCTCGGAACAGAAAACAAAATAGCGGGACCGGAACTGAAGTGCAGATAGAATGGGCCAACCTAGACTGCGGCTGGCTGATGGATTGAGCACATACCTATTTGTTAGCAGCAGCGATAGACTGTTCGTGCATCAAGTGAAGGAGGCGGGCGCGCAAGCAGCTTGAGCCGGCTAAGGAGCTGAAGCCATAAATGTGGAAAGCTGGCTTTCGTTCATAACCGTGCTTGAATTGAAACAGGAAGCCTTGGAAACTCGGCCAGAACTGAACCACTTGCTGCGATACAAAAACTAGAGCTTGCCATCACGAGTTACCAGATTGTCTCGAGAATTTCTTCGTAGAAGCGCCAACGAGGATTTGGGACGACTGCGAAAATCGGGCGAACTGTCATGGTACAGTATTGAGTTTCATGAGCTCGGGAAAATGGATGCAGGCCAGCTCGGCAACCTCCATGCATACCGTGTACAGTGATGGTTCATTCAGATAAGACAACTCAGCCTTGGAATGAAGTCTGTCAGTCTGTCAGAGAAACCACTGCCAGGCTCTGACGCCGAGTCAACGCTCAAATTTTCGTCACGCTGCGAGCTGCCGCCTTTTGGGTTTCGTGCCTGACAAAGACTCTTGTGGTTGTGGTGGGGGTGCTTGAGCTGGAGCTTGCTCGCATCGACGGCAGGACATTCGTCGTGAAATGATTGACCCGATCGAACGGTGTAAAATAACTCGATGTCATCGGCTCATACTCCTTACCATCCAATTCAAGACAGCGTTACAGAAGGAGTCTGTTAGGAAAAAAAAAATCACTATACGCTATGCCGAAACACTGATGAGCCCAGACTTGTGTGTGCTTCTTCGTCCCTCCTACTGTATCTGCCTGCATGTAGCATCTCCCTCCATTTTCTGTTCCCGCCAAGAGTCGGCAGGTCACGGATTTCTCTTCACCATGACGAATGGGCATAATCCGTAGACGTAGAAAACTGGAATGACACTCACAGTGTAGGCTTTGTTTTCAAGAATCGTATGTCACTAGAACAAGCAATTCGCGTGTCTACTTCTATGTAGCTAACTGCTCGCCTCATGGGCAGAGAAGCCCCGGGAGCTCAACCCAGCGGCGCCGGCTTTCCCGGCGCATCGTTCGGAAGCAGGCTTCCAAAGAAGGAAGAACCGCAACGCGACGACGAAACGAGTGACGAGAGCAGCGACGAGGGAGACGGGGAGGAGGAGTGGCGTCACGAGGGCGACAAGGGCCGAGAGATGCAATTCTCGCGGATTCTCGAGGGCGTCGTGTTCGCCATCAGCGGAGTCGCGAATCCAGAGCGCGCCGAGCTGCGCGGGAAGGCGATGGAGATGGGCGCGCGGTACCGGCCGGACTGGACGCCGGATTGCACGCTGCTCGTCGCCGCGTTCCCCGGCACGCCGAAAGTCAGATCCGTGACTGCCGACGACGGCACGATCGTGTATAAGGTTCGCGCAATTGGTAGCGGAGACGGTGTGTTGAATGGGAATGGGCTGAGTGAGAGAGGGGAGCAATTAGTATTCCATTCAACTGTCTGAGAGAGTTTGAGCATTCCATCCCTCCTGCTCACCTGAGAGGCTCAACATAGTTTTGAGACGTCTCAAGTCAGGTTCAACATCCCAAGCCCTTTTCTTCTATTCACCCTGCACAGCTTAAACCCGCTAGTCTTGCTCCTCCCTCCTTCTCCATGCATGCCCCTGCCTGTCCACGTGTGTGACTATAGCGGTGGGTGGAGCAGTGCTACAGTAACCGCCGCCTCATGAGCATATCCCCCCACGTCATTCATCTTGGGCGGCCGTGGCGCCAAGGCGGGGCGGCAGACAGGGATGTGGACGACGGCGGCGGGCGGCGCAGACGAATCGTGCCGGCCAGAGATCAAGGGCAGGGCGGAAGGGATGGGGGGAGGGGGCGGGGAGGGGGAAGGGATACGGGGAGGACTGGGGGGAGGGGAGACGGGCAGGGGGGTGGCAGATTAGGGGGTAACGATAGGGAAAGGGGAATGGGACGAGGGGGAGTGCAACCAGAAAGAGGAGCAGCAGGGGGGCCTGGGGCAGGGGAGGGGGAGGGGGAGGGCACGGAGGAGGGGGAGCAGAAGCCCAAGAGGCGGAGGCTGCTGATCCCCCCAATGGCTGGGGGCGGAGACATGGGAGGGGGGAATGGGGGGAGCCTATCAGGGGAGGAGCTGGTGGCACAGTGGGTGGCGGGGGACATGGTGCACGTGAGAGCGTTTCTGGAGGAGCAGGAGGAGCAGCCTCCGGAGGGGGAGGTGGATCGAGTGGCGAGGGAGGGCATGCTCGCGTGCTTTGATGACGCCATTGCTGGCGTGGAGCAAGGGCAGGTGAGATTTCCCGTCTTTTCAGAGGGCCGCCAAAAAGGGAGGTGGATAGAGTGGCGAGGGAGGGCTTGCTGGCGTGCTTTGACGACGCCATTGCTGGCGTGGAGCAAGGGCAGGTGAGATTCTTCTCATGCCTTTTTCTCTCCTGTGCTTTCAGCAGCTATTGCCTCGTGGCCCGTCATGCCGCGTATGCTCACTTCCCACACTGCTTCCCTCCCCACATCCAGACAGTCTCCTACAGCCCGCCTCACCTCCTTCTCCCTCTTGTATCTCCCGACCCCCCCCCTCCCATCCCATCCCAGGCGCTCGCAGCGTCGATTGCCTCGTGGCCTGTCGTGCCACGTGTGCTGGACCCACAAACTTCTGTCTCCGCTCCTCCGCACCTCCTCCCCTCCTCTCTCCCGCCGCTGCCGATCTCCCTGGGGAGTGGGGGGGCGGGGGGAGGGGAGTGCCTGAGGGTGCTAAGGCAGTGGAGGGGGATGTATGAGCGGGAGCTGGGGCGAATGGGGGAGAGGGGGAAGGGGGAAGGGGGAGAAGGGAGTGGGGGAGGTGTAGGGGTGGGAGGAGGGAGCTCGGGGGGTGGGGCAGTGGGAGGAGAGAGGGGCGAGGGGAGTGGAGGGGGAAGAGAGGGGGATGGAACGGCAGGAGGGACTGGTAGGGAAGGGGGTGGGCATGGTGGTAATGGTGGTGTTGGCAACACTACGGTTGGAAATGTTGGTGCTGCTGTGGGTGGTGATGGTGCTGCTGGTGATGGTACTGCTGCTGGTGGCTATGTGGGCAGTGGGAGCAGAAGTGGTGCTGCTGATGCTGCACCGGGAGAGGGAGAGAAGAACCCAGAGAAGGGAGATGGTCGCAGCGGTAACCCTATTGATGACTATGACACTGACAGCTGCTGAGAGTGGGGAGCAGGTGCGGTTGCGACAAACTGAGAGTAACAGGGGAAGTTGATTGAGAAGAAGGGTGATGGTCGCAGCAGTAACCCTATTGATGACTACGATACTGACAGCTGCTCTGAGGGGGGAGTGGGGGAGGGTGTTGCAAAGTGAGAGTGACAGCTGTTTGGAGTTCAGGCTGATCTGGTTGGAACAAATACTAGTCTCTCATGTTAACATCTGGTAGTATGGTAATGTATTGTGGTTATTCATATGAAAAATATGTTACTTCGCGCTTTGCTGTACGGGCCCACATCTCAGCCTCAACAAATCAATATCCGCGACAGCACTGTCGCACAACACATCGCCGCTGCAATATTTGGCGAGAGTTCGCTGGTGTCAGTCTCACTCACTCGCGAACAGTTACGACTGCAGATGTATTTGCATTTGTTTTAAAGCCAGGATCTCAAGTAGTTCAATTGTTTTGCAGTTGGTGAGGGGAGCTGGGCTGCGATTGGTTAGCGAGGTGAACAATCTGACGAGGTGTGAAGCGAGGGGTGCGAAGTAAAGACAAATCGCAAGTTCAGTCCGAACCAAGCAAGGCTCGGAAACTGGTTCGGTGACGAAGCTCCAATGCCTGCAATTTCTCGTCACACACAACAATCTCATTACCAGCAAAATGTTTTGCATTTGCTCTAGGGGCAAAATCGTGGGTGTGCCGCACGCTCACTTTCCTAACCAGCCAGTCAATTCGCCTACAAAAATAGGGTAACAAGCGCTGCAAGTGTTTTGCAATTGAAGGCCAATTCTCTTACTTGAGATCCTGGCTTTAATGCAGACTCAGTCTCCAAAAAAAAAAGTCTCACTCGCGACACGAGTAGTAGTCAGTAGTAGCATGTGCGCTGTACTGAAGTAGAAGCTGCTGCGATGCGGTATGCCTCCTCTTACATGGCCGCTCGCCACGCTCGCCAGTGTAAAGCAGTGCCATATTTTTTCTGACACGTCGCAGAATCCGTCGTTCGAGAGTTACAGTCGGAACAAACCTCGCGCGGCTATCTGCCGGCTTTAGATTAAGATTCTCTTTTCCGCCATGACCAATCGTGAGCATCCATCGACTTAGTCAATCTGAAGAGTTCAATATAGCGAGCTTCACGCGTCTATCGCTCCATTTTCCGCCATGGCCGCCACTCGCCAGTATCTGCCGCCGCAGTCGCAACGCCAGCCACAGTTCTGGCGGCCGGGAGCGTCGCGTCCGGGAGAATCTCTCGCGTCTCGGGCGTCGTTAGCGGTCGACGCAGACGGCGCGGATGCTGACGTGTCGATAGCCTCGCTGGCAAGGTGCGAGTCCCCACCTCGTCGCTCTTTCCGTCTCGCTGTATGTTGCTCCGCTATCGCAGCTAGCCCGTGAAATATTCTCACTGTTTTAAAACCTGCGTGGATGAGAATCTTTCAGGTAGGAGGCGAGAAGGCCGGTACCTTCTCATCTACCTCGTGTGGGAAGGAATCGTCATGCTCGGGTGAAAGCTCATGCTCGGGTGAAAGCTCATGCTCGGGTGAAAGCTCATGCTCGGGTGAAAGCTCATGCTCGGGTGAAAGCTCATGCTCGGGTGAAAGCTCATGCTCGGGTGAAAGCTCATGCTCGGGTGAAAGCTCATGCTCGGGTGAAACCAAATTCACTTCGTGCTCATGCGAGCTCTGGTGGTTGGGATTCACAGGTTTCTCTTCCTGTTAGAGGCTACCTGTGTTCAAGCACAGGGAGGCGATCTTGTACCTGGTGGAGACTCAACGCTGTCACTGTGGTGGTTCAGACTTACGAGTTCCTTTTCCTTCCACTCTTCCCCCCTCCTGCTCTCCCTCCCACTCCCCTCTACCAGTCCCTTTGTGCAGAGTGGGCGTGAGAAGCTACCAGTGTTCAAGCACAGAGAGGGCATCTTATACCTGGTGGAGACTCACGCCGTGACTGTGGTGGTGGGAGAGACTGGCAGTGGCAAGACCACTCAGATACCGCAGGTGAGGTGAATGCACATGCGGTGAAGCAGATGAGGTGAATGCACATGCGGTGAAGCAGATGAGTTCTGAGTCGACTCAAAAGCCAAATTCCAGCTCAGGGAGGCGAGCTTGTACCTAGTGGAAGCAGGGTAAGAGGCATCTAATCCGAAGAGCCTTGTAGTTAAACTTCCTCTTCCCACACCCATATCTCACCATCCTAAATCCCCCAATACCATTGATTCACTGGCAGTATCTGGTGGAAGCAGGTTGGGCGGCAGGAGGGAGAGTGGTGGCCTGTACTCAGCCCAGGAGAGTGGCGGCTCAGGTGAGTGTCACCTGAGTGCCTGTGGGCTAACATAAAGTGTATCTTTCCCCAACCATGCTTCATTCACATGTGAGATATGGAGATCCTGAGCACCCATTAGCTGCTTGTCTTGTCCCACACCTGGAACAGCACAATGACATGACATGACATGACTCACCGCTTTGTTCCCATCGAGTCTGGTCTGCTACAGACGCTGTTGTCCCTCATTCGCCTCTCTCCCTTGCTCACTCACACCCCACATCTCCCTTCCCCCACTCCTTCCTCCCCCTTCCTTTCCCTCGCTGCCCCCCTACCCTTTTTCCACTAGTGTGAGATGGTGGTAAGCAGAGGTGACTATGAAATCAAATCAGTGGTCGTATTCATTCTCCCTCGTTCCTCATCTACCCATTTCCTCACCCTTTGATGGCAGATGGTGGCGAGCAGGGTGGCGGAGGAGATGGGGGTGGCTCTGGGGGAGAGAGTGGGGTACAGCATTCGCTTTGAGAATGTCACCTCAGAGGTAACTTGCTGGCGCATAATTCTATTGTCTGCATTGCATTGCATGTCACAACGTTATGTGTTGTGTCCCTTCTAATCCTGTGCTCCCCATGTAACTTATCATGAATCACCACTCTCTGTCCATGGACTTTATGTGTGTCCCATCCCATGTTCCACTTTCCACACATGCCATGGACTAAACAGGGAGTGACTCAAATCAAGTTTCTAACAGACGGGGTGCTGCTGCGGGAGATGATGGAGGACCCGCTTCTCTCCAGATACAGGTCGGACAGGGCGTGGTAAGGCACAGAGATGCATGGTAAGGCATGTCGTGCAGGGCTGTACAGGGAGTGACGCAAAATAGGTTCCTCACAGACGGGGTGCTGCTGTGGGAGATGATGGAGGACCCACTGCTTTCCAGATACAGGTCCGTATGGCATGGTGTGGCATGGTGTGGCACGGTGTGGCATGGTGTGGCATGGTGTGGTATGGTGTGGCATGGTAAGGTCTGGTAAGGCATGCTGAGGCATGGCGTAACATTGCATGAGATGGTGGAGGATCCACTGTTCTCCAGATACACGCCGCGCATGGTCGGGGGGGAGAAATTTCTGCTTTCCTTCTGTCTGATCTGTTGCCTGTATATTGTGTGTGGTTCCCTCTTGTTCGAGAACTAGCTATGCCTTATGTGATTGCTTGTAACGCAGCTGTATGACATGCCCAGCGTGTTGATTGACTGTACGTCATGTGATTATATAACGCGCCATTGTATTGCAGTGTGATCATGGTGGACGAGGCGCATGAGCGCAGCTTGGCAACCGATATCCTCCTGGGCCTCCTCAAGAAGGTATGTGCGCTGTGTGCCATGGGATGCGATGATTGTGCGTGCGGTTACATCGAGTCGAAGGCTATTGCAGTGTGATCCTATTTTTAGGCGCCTCAAATCTGGTGGACGAGGCTCATGAGCATAGCCTGGCAACGGATATTCTCCTGGGCCTCCTCAAGAAGGTGTGTTGTTGTGTTGTGATCATGGTGGTTGGTGTAAGCTGTGTTTGTTGTTTCTCTTTTGTATGTGAGCGTACAAAAGTCGGTGAGCGTTTGTACGTTTCTGCTTCCACTGCATTAGCCCCTACCCTACCCTACCCTACCCTACCCTGCCCTACCCTACCCTACCCTACCCTGCCCTACCCTACCCTACCCTGCCCTACCCTGCCCTGCCCTGCCCTGCCCTGCCCTGCCCTGCCCTGCCCTGCCCTGCCCCTTGACCCTCTTCCGCTGCCCCTCTTCCCCTTTCCCTCTCTTCTCCCTCTCCCCGCGCTTCCCCCTATGCCTCTCCCCGTCCGTCCCCCTCTTCTCCATCCATGCCCCAGGTGATGCGGCGGCGTCCTGACCTCCGATTGGTCATCTCATCTGCCACGTTGGCAGCTGATGACGTGGCAGCCTTCTTTGACACCAGGTGCGTTGCCTCGCCCACGCACAGCGGCTAGTCAATCTTCTTCTGGTTCCTTTCTTCACCTCCCCTCTCTCACGCTCTCTCCTCTTTCCCCCCTCTTTGCCTTCCCCCGTCCCTCACTCACTCCCCTCCCGCTTCCACCCCCCGACTGCTGCTGACCGTGTTTTTGCTTCACACCCGTCACCGCACGTCACCCCTTTCCCCCGGTAACCTGTCTCACCGTCCCCCAGCAACGAGAAGCCAAAGTTTCAGCCGGAAGGCTCTCAGCTTCAAGCCCTTCCCAGCCGCAAGCCAGCGATCATCTCCGGACTGGAGGGACTGCGTTTTTCCACTCCAGGAAAAACGCAGCCACCCCGTGCAGCTGCTGTACCTGGACTGGCTGGAGGGACCCACCTAGAATTTCCTGCACATCACCCTCTCTCCCCCCTTACCCTCACTCACCTTCCCCCAGCCACGAGAAGCTCAAGGTTGTGCCAGGAGGCTCTGACGCCCTTCCCAGCCGCAAGCCAGCGATCATATCCGTGGAGGGGCGCAGCCACCCCGTGCAGCTGCTGTATCTTGAGGAACCCTCCTCCGACTACCTGCAGACAGCACTTGACACTGTTCTTGCTATTCACTGCCAGGTGAGCTGCTTCCTCAGCACCTCTCTGCTCGTCACCCCGTGCAGCTGCTGTACCTTGAAGAACCCACCTCTGACTACCTGCAGACAGCACTTGACACAGTGCTCGCCATTCACTGCCAGGTGAGGTCGTCCCTCTGCCTCCCTTTGCGTCATCAGCCTCGCAACAGCTGTTCCCGGAAGCACCATTCATGAGGTTGTATTCAGCCAGTGCAAGATTTTTTTTTTAAATGATAGGGACCAGGACGTCAAAGGACGTCGAATCCGGTTATTTATGCAAGACATAGTGTTCCCTCTTTTCTTGCCCTCTCCCTTCAGGAGCCCCCGGGAGACATACTTGTGTTCCTAACGGGGCAAGAGGAGGTGGATACCCTGGTGCAGCTTGTAGCGGAGCAGAGCAACAGCTACACTCCCTCGTCTGAGAAACTAAGGGGTATTGTTGCTATGTTAATGCTCCCTGACCATGCACTGATAAAGTGAGAGTGCAATGTGCTGGTGCTGATTCTTAAGAATTCCAAAACGTGGTATGATGGCTGTTCTCCCTGTCCGTTCTCTGTTGAAGTGAAAGTATGAGGTGCTATTGCTGACGACTCTTTAAGAGATGGTAAGATGATTTAAACTTGTTGAGTTGCTGTGTTCTCTACCAAAGCATGGTACAAAGCATGCCTGTGCCTTGCCCACTCTCACTTATTCTCACTTATCCTCACTTTCTTTCTCATCCCTTTCTCTCTCATCCCTTCTCTTCGCCCTTCAGGCCTTCAGGCGTTTCCTCTCTACGCTGGTCTGCCAGCAGGTGACGTTGTAAGTCCTTCCTTCCCTTCCCTCCATGTATAGTGGCACTCATGGGATAGTGAACGAAGCTCAAGCATCCACACACACTTGTGTCAAAGCTGGTGACATAGTGAGTCTTCCTCCCTATCATCCCTCTACACACATAGCATCTTCCCTATCTTCCCTCTGGTGACACCCGTGGTATAGTGAGCAAAAGTCCCAAGTCTCACTACGCACACACGTGTGCCAAAGCTGGCCTGCCAGGTGCTGACATGGTGAGTTCTCCTCCCTCCCTTTTTCCTGTCTCTTCCACCTTCACTTCCCTTCCCCCCCCCACCCAATGCCATCACCACCACCACGACGACCACCACCACCACCACTATGACAGGAGGCAGCATTCGCGCCCACCCTGCGGGGGAGGAGGAAGGTACTGGTGGCCACCAACATTGCCGAGACGTCTCTCACCATCGAGGTGCGTGGGCTTAGTGCTTGAGGCGCCACACTGATTGCGGGTTAAGAGACGACTGTTGAGGTGCCCACCCTGCGGGGGAGGAGGAAGGTGCTGGTGGCCACCAACATTGCCGAGACGTCTCTCACCATCGAGGTGTGTGGGTTCTTTGGGACGTCTCAGATAACCTCTCTTCCATGGAGGTGAGTGGGCTCCATGGCATGTGCCATGTATTCCCCAGTCTCACACTCTCAATGCACCCTGCTCATGCCATTCCCTCTCTCCATCAGGGCTGCTTGTCTGTTGTCGTACCGATTGTGGCCTATGGATGGAGTAACCGTGTATCCCTGCCTTCCCTCTCTCTCTGCCCCTCTCCCCCTGCAGGGCATAGTGTACGTGGTCGACTGTGGCTTGTGGAGTAACCGCGCCTCCTTCCCCCCCCGCTCCTCTCCCCCCCCGCTCTCTCTGTTCCTCTCCCCCTGCACGGCATAGTGTACGTGGTCGACTGTGGCTTTGTCAAGCAGCGCTTCTTCAATGATTGCTACTGATAAAGCAACCCCGCTCCTCTCCCCGCCCCCTGCTCCTCTCCCCCTGCAGGGCATAGTGCACGTGGTCGACTGTGGCTTTGTCAAGCAGCGCTTCTTCGACCCTGTAAGACCTCCTCCCGTCCAATATTCTACCCTTCCTCTTATGCTGGTTCACAACCCCTGTGAACCAGCCCCAGTTCACAACCCCTGTGGACCGGCCCCAGTTCGCAACCCCTGTGGACCGGCCCCAGTTCACAACCCCTGTGGACCGGCCCCAGTTCACAACCCTTGTGCTGTGCTGTGCTGTGCTGTGCTGTGCTATCCTGCTGCTTGTTTAGAGACTCCTAAGATCCCGTTCTCGAGGCGCCTCGATAACCACTCTGGTTTCCCCAGTGCTGTTCCATGCCCCCTCCCCCCGGCCCCCATCCCTCCAGGTGTCTAACGTAGATGCTTTGCTGCTAGTGCCCATGTCACTGTTTTCAACACCCCACGATTCGCCTTTCTACCATCCGCCATACCCGCAGGTGTCCAATGTGGATGCATTGCTGCTAGTGCCCGTGTCATGGGCATTGCTGCTAGGTGCTCAGCACAGCAGAGTGCAGGCAGGCCATCAGCTTGTCCTCTCCCTCCCCCACCCCGTGCTGTTCTGTGCCCCGTCCCCCCCTCCCCCGTTCTCTATCCCCCATTCCCACCAGGTGTCCAACGTGGATGCGCTACTGCTAGTGCCCGTGTCACGAGCATCAGCGCAGCAGAGAGCAGGCAGGGCGGGGCGAGTGAGGCCAGGAAAATGCTACAGGTGAAGAGTTGCTGGCACACTCTCATTCTCGTGCACTCAGCATTCAGTATTCCTGGATTTCAGCATGCAAGGCAGTCCCTCTTCAGTCCCAGTAGCGTCTTGATTTCCCTAACTGGTTTTGTCCCTTCCTAAGGTTGCTTGTTCTCCTCTCCTTTGCGATCCCTTCCTCTTTTCCCCACTCTCTCCTTCAGACTATACACAGAGCACAGCTACATGACAGATCTTGCCGCCCACACAATCCCGGAGATCCAGCGCTCAGATCTCACAGCAACAGTGCTGCAGCTCAAGTCCCTCGGCATCGACAACATCATGCGATTCGATTGGCTCTCGCCGCCCGCGCCGTCTGCCATGATCCGCGCACTAGAGACGCTCTTTGCCGTCCGGGCGCTGGATATGGATGGCAGGCTGACCAAGCCTGTTGGTGTCCAGCTGGCAGAGTTTCCTCTGGTAAGATGCATGTGATAACCACGTACTAGTAACTACACAAACCACATGCTGGTAACCACATGAACCACATACTAATAACCACATGGTAACCACACAAACCATGCGCTGGTAACCACACAAACCACGTGCTAGTAACCACATGCTGGTAACCACATGAACCACACACACACTAGTAACCACATGGTGGTAACCACTTGCTGCTAACCAAGTCATGGCCAGTGTCTTGCTCAGTCCAGGTCTTTATGTCCATCCCTCCCCCAGCTTCCTTTATTCAAGAGGTTCAGGTGACATTTATCATACCTCCTCCCTTCTCTGCTCGTCCCTTTCTCCCAGGACCCTCTGGTTGCCTTCATGCTGCTTGTGTCAGCCAATGCACCTGGCACCACCGCTGATGGTGCTACTGGTACTGCGATGAAGAGTGGAGGCGGGGGAGGTGGCTTGGGTGGGAGGAAGGAAGAGGAGGATGAGGAGGAGGAAGACGGAGATGAAGAGGAGGCTGATGGTTGTTCCGAGGAGATGTGTACTGTTGCTGCGTCACTGTGTGTGCAGGTGAGAGGAGGAGCATGTTGCCTTGCAGTGGGAGGTTGGAGCAGTTGGGAGATGTGGCATGAGTGTGAGGGTATCGAAGGCATGTGAGTTTGAGCTTTGAGGCATGCAACTGATTTTGCTTGACGAATTTCGCAGGCAGCATGTGGCACGGGTTTTAGCAGATCCTCTGACATAATTCCAGTGAGCAGCAGTGCCAGGTTTAAGCTTAAGCAAGTAGGAAAAACAGTGAAACTCTAAACACTAGCTGATAGCCGAGAGTCTGTGAAACCGGAACTCTTCTCGTTAATAGAAATTAAAACAAGACAAACATGTTTCGGCTGGAGGGCATCCCCTACCAGGCCTTCATCAGTGCCTACGAGAATGAAAAACAGAGTGGAGCAGAAGCCTTAAAAAGAAAAGCTAACGCCTCCAGGAAACACAAAACTCAAGGTTATCTACACCCTGGCCCGTTCCAAAAAGTTCGGGACCAATCCAGGTACCTCTGGTGAACACCAAGAGCCACGTCTTCAACCCTCGAGGGTGTCATCGTTGGGAGCAGAGTCCAACCTTTCGCCATGTAACGACTTCGGTAGTCGCGCGCGCACCAAAAGCTTTAATAAGCTACACCCAATTGTCCAAGCAACAAAAATTCTCTCAACATAAAGTCCGTGTGTGATGAGCCTATTTTTGAGTCGACTCAAAACGACCCCTAGCCGGAGGCGTGCAGTCCAAGGAGTGAACTGTGCCTTCAGAACTAGGGGCCCACGGGAAGAGAGAGATTGCTGTTGCTTGAGTAACTGGGTGGTGGCGATGTTGGCGAGAAGGTCGGGCCGTTGAGCGAAACAGACACGCTTGAAAAGTGGGAGTAGAAAAGCTGGTGGGTAACCACGATCCCGAAGTCGCTGGAAGAAAGCCAACTTCGTTGCGAGGAAGGTGGATGCTGAAGTCGAACGAAGTAGGTAGCGTTTCAGCTCAGCACGAATGAACCCCTCCTTGCAGTGGCGTGGGTGGAAGGAGGAAAAAGGCAGATACAGGTACTTGTTCAGCGGCTTCTGGAAGGTGCCGAAGTCCAAGATCCCGTGCTCTTTGAAGCGTGGTCCTTTGAAAAGGACCATGTCGAGGAAGTCGATCGAGCTCTCTGAGACGGTCCACGTAACCCGAATGTTCGGGTCTAGCGCATTCAGGGTCTGCAGGTAGCCCTCCAAATCTGCCTGCGTACCGGGCCAAATGATTAGCCCATCATCAATATAGCGCACGTGGTAGGAAGGTTCCGTCCCTGTCCACCTTTCTTTAAGCAGTTCGTCTAAACGGCTCATGAAGAGGATGGCGAAGCACACAGCTACAGGAGTCCCCATAGCAGTACCTCGAACCTGTTGAAACACCTCGCCGTTGAACTCCACGAAAGAGTTCCTCATGACCCAACCCAGAAGAGCCATGAGAGGTTGTGCGAACTGCGGGTTCTCTCTCGATAGGAAACAGTTGACCGCCTCGAGGCCTCGCTCAATGGAGATGCTGGGGTAGAGTGAGGTGACGTCGTAGGTAGCAAGAAAGATCGTCGCGGGGAAGGGGGTCCGTTCGAGCGTGGTCAGTAGAGAGAGAGAGTCGCGGAGGTAGGTCTGTCTCTTAAGAACTAGCGGTCGTAATTCAGCATCCAGCCACCTGCTCACGTTGGTCGTCACCCATGAATGTGAGGCTGCGATCGGTCGCCCCACGGGGATTCTCTTGTGAAGCTTAGGCAAGATGTAAAAGGCCGCCGGTCTCCACCCTCCCGACGGTTCATCAAAGAAATACTTCCATAGGCTGTCTGGAAGGGCCGGTCCCCAAGTCGACTGTAGAGATCGCAGCTGCTGCAGAACACTAGGTGTCGGATCGTGTTGAACTGATCTATACACCGCGTCATCCGAGAGGTGCTCCATGCAAAGGTTGACGTAGTATGACTGATCCATAACGGTGAGACCCAGGTTCTTATCCGCGGGCTTGATGACGATGCTGCGGTCTGTCGCGAGGGAGCGCAAAGCTGTACGTACACCTCGTGAGAGGTTCGATCCACGTAACGGCTTCGCTGCTTTCATCAGGAACGAGAGGTCTTCGTGCGCCTCTCTGAAAACCGACTCCGGGAATTTATTCCGATCGGGTCTCCAACCCGGGTTGCGCACCCGAAAACGTGAAGCTGCGGTTGGATTCCCTTTCTCCTTGAAGAAAAAATGAAGAGAAATCTGTCGATGCAGCTGATCGAGGGCCGTAGCGACAGAAGGATTCCAGGCGGGAGTAGGAACAAACTTCAAACCCAAACCGAGTGCCTTACGCTCGTCCGACGTTAAGGTCTTGGCACTCAGGTTGTGCACTCCGAGGTTCCGCACGCGAGACTGCGCCTGTCGTAAAGTCAAGCGGCCAAACCAGCGGAGCGCGAGGTCGTGTGCTGTTACTTCTTCTTTAGCGGCCCTTTTGCGGGGCCGCCGCCGCCGTTTTTTGGAACCCAGGCCTTTTTCGAGGTCGACGGTGTAGTCTCAGGGCCCTTCTCCTTGCTGTTCGTGGGAGTGTTGGCTTTCTTCTTGTTCTTGCCGCCACGCTTCTTCTTCGCCCTTTTCGGCTTAGAATTAGCAGCTGCGGGGGCCATAGATGCATCCTGCTTGACTAACGAAAACGCTTTCAGCTTCGCCGATAGGGTGGCCTCGAACTCCGCCTTAACTTCCTTGCGGATCTCAGCCTTCGCCTTCTGCACCTGCTGACGAACAATCTCGTCGATCGTCGGCCCTGTCTCCATGCCAGTCATCTCCTCAGCGGCAGCAGATTTCTTCAATTCCTCGGCTTCGCGGGACTTCTGCCTCAGCAACTCCTGGACTTTGATGTCGTCCTTGGCGGTGGCGATTTCAGACCGAGCTTTCTCAATGCACTGCACCTTGATCTTCCTGAACTTTTCCTTAGCGACTTCAGAAATCGCCAATTCGGGTACGGACGATAAGCTCTTGATGTGGTCTTCAAGCCTGGCCGCCAGAGAAGTGAGGTGTGAATCGGAAGCCGCCAAAATCTCCTCGACCTCCATTTCCTTCGACTTAATGAAGTCCGCTTGTATGCGTTTCTGGTTTTCGAGATGAATTGCAGCCACAGAGGCCACTGACTTCTCCCGAATGCTCGAGTACTTCGTCTGAAACTCGACCACCTTGGTGCGGATGCTGTGGAGTATCACACCTTGGCTGTCGAGAGTCTTCATCTTCTTAAGCTTGGACTTCGCCTTCAGGTAGTTTTTGAAATCGAACCGAAAATCCTTGACGGCCTTCGCAGTCCAGCCTTTAAAAGGCTCAGGAATCGTAACAGACTGCTCAGATGAAGCCGTAGGAACGCTGCAACCGGCTGCTGCAGCGATCGGCTCGTTCTCAACTTCCATGTCGGGAGGAGATTCCGCTTGCTTGTCTTGCTTCGTAGTCGCGTGAGTTGGAGCAGATTGTTTCGCACCGTCAAGATCGCGGCGTCGCTTGTGGTTGCGATAATTCGCGTAAGTCTTTGCCGGTAACACTGCCTCACGCAAAACAATTGCAGAACTGCCTTCACCTGCACCGGCGTCTACTGGAGAAAGCGTAAGTGTTAGCAGATCCTCTGACATAATTCCAGTGAGCAGTAGTGCCAGGTTTAAGCTTAAGCAAGTAGGAAAAACAGTGAAACTCTAAACACTAGCTGATAGCCGAGAGTCTGTGAAACCGGAACTCTTCTCGTTAACAAAAATTAAAACAAGACAAACATGTTTCGGCTGGAGGGCATCCCCTACCAGGCCTTCATCAGTGCCTACGAGAATGAAAAACAGAGTGGAGCAGAAGCCTTAAAAAGAAAAGCTAACGCCTCCAGGAAACACAAAACTCAAGGTTATCTACACCCTGGCCCGTTCCAAAAAGTTCGGGACCAATCCAGGTACCTCTGGTGAACACCAAGAGCCACGTCTTCAACCCTCGAGAGTGTCATCGTTGGGAGCAGAGTCCAACCTTTCGCCATGTAACGACTTCGGTAGTCGCGCGCGCACCAAAAGCTTTAATAAGCTACACCCAATTGTCCAAGCAACAAAAATTCTCTCAACATAAAGTCCGTGTGTGATGAGCCTATTTTTGAGTCGACTCAAAAAACGCAGGCAGCATGTGGCACGGGTTTTCCCACGTCCTCTCACTGATTCTTCCCTGCTCTCCTCCCCCCTCGCCCCCTCTCCCTCCTCTCCGATTCACCATCATCCTCCTCACTCAGTTGTCCCACATCGTCCCTTCATACTCCTGCCTTTCCCCTGCTGCTTTTTCCATCAACCAGTCTGTATCTAAGTCGCCTCTTAGTCGTATCTAAGTCGCCTCGGAGCATCCCTCATCTGCTTGCCCCACTTTCTCCCTCTTCCCTCAATCCTGCATCCTCCCCTTCCCCCAGTCAGTGTGGGTGGGCAGCAGTGGCAGGCAGAGGGAGTCGGACAGGCTCAAAGAGAGATTCGCTGCTGCAGAGGTGGGGTGGGATAGGGCTGTAGTTTGTGCGGTGCGGTGCGGTAGGGCAATGGTTCGGGTTTGGGCTGAATTGAAGGGGGTGTGTGACTTATGCGCAGACCTTCTCGCCTCACTTCTGGGTTTTCTCCCTTCCGTTACCTTCCATGGCCATCTTTGTTTTCTACCTGAACTGTTCAAGGGCCTCATTCACCGCTCCTCACCACTCCTGACCACCGCGTCCCCCCTCTGCAAACTATCACCCCTTCGTCTCCTCTCACTAGGGTCCCTTGGTGTCCTGCCTGAATGTGCACGAGGACTTATTTTTTATAATGCCAAGTAACTAAATTGCCCTCACCGTAACCCTCTTATATTCTCCGCTTTTCCTCCCCTTTCCTCTCACCTGTTCACCCTCGCACCAGGGCGATTTCATCTCCTACCTGAACGTGTATGAGGGCTTCACAGAAAGTAACACAATTCACCTCATGACAAGTCAACCTCTCTCCCATCCCTCCATTGCATACGCCTATCTTCCTCCCTGTCCTCCCGCCAGGGCGATTTCATCTCCTACCTGAACGTTTATGAGGGCTTCACTCGCAGTGGGCGGTCGCCCAAGTGGTGCCACGCCAATGGCATCAATTACCAGGCCATGGTACGCTGACTGTGAGGGAACACGAGATGACTTTTGAGTCGACTCAAAAGCCAATGGCATCAACTATCAGGCCATGGTACGCTGACTGTGAGGGAAAATCATGGCATGGAATTGTGCTTCTGCCTGTACGCTATTCACTTTCGAGAATGATCTTATGTCAAGTTACTAACCGGCCATGGTATGATATACTGGCAACTGCGGCTTCTCTGCTCTACTTGCTGTGCTCTGTGCCCTGTGCTCTTCCGTGTGGAAATGACGTGCTTCAATCAAAGCTCCAAGTGTAGTCACCTTCTATTTGCCTATCACTCTCTGGCCCTCTGCTCGCCCCTCCTCACCCGTCCACCACCTTTCCTCCCGCCACCTCTTCCCGGTATCTCAGTTGCGATTGGACCATGTGCGGGGGCAGCTGCGGAAGGGGCTCATACCATGGTTTTTTATGCTTGATGATCGCCTCCCCACCCTTCTCCACCCCTCCCTACCCCTCCCCACCCCTCTCCACCCCTCCCCACCCCTCCCCACCTCCGCATTTCAGTTGCGAGTGGACGATGTGAGGGGGCAGCTGCAGAAGGGGCTCAGGCGCTTGGGGCTGAAGCTGCTGTCATGCAGGGGAGATGTCATGGTGGGTATGCTCATGAAGTCAGGGTGGGTGTGCGGATGACGTCAGAGTGGTTCGTAGGGGTCAAATGAAGTGAAAATACCAGTGGCAGCATCTTCTCCTATCCTGTTCTCCCACCTTTCAATCTCTGCCACCACCCCATCCCTCCCATCCCCCCTGCCCTACCCGTCCCTTCCCTTCCTCATTCTCCTAACTGTTCCGCCTCTTGCTTTCCTCTTTATCTCCCTTCAACGCTATTCCCCTCTCCATCTCCTCTACCGTCCTTCCTTGTTATCTTTTCTCTCTCCCCTCCCCTCCGTTTCTCTCTTTCCCTTGCTCGGTCACCCCGCCGCCACCTCTCCCCCCACTCAACAGCTACTCCAAAGGGCAGCAGCGGCATCTCTCTTTGTCAACGCCGCACAGCTTATGGTAATCTCTCATGATATTTGGCTTCTCTCCGTTCCCTTGTGAGGCTTCTCAAGAGCAGCGTCTCTTCAAGTCAACGTCGCACACAGCTCATGGTAATCTCTCTTGTTCATTGGCTTCTGTATGCCCCCTGAACCTGAACCCCTGTGGTACAATGCTGTATGGTATGACACGCCTGTGGTACCGAACCTTTGTAATGGGAGTGCACGTACATGTGTAGCTCAACCACATGCTTCAGTGACTGTGCTGCGATGTCATGGTGATGTGTCTCTATACATGGTGTTACCATGGTGTTTCTCTGCTCTTACTGGCTGTCCGTTGGCCTTCCACCTTCCATTCCGCCTCTCATCCTCCTCGCCTCTCTTCCAGGTCAATGGTGACGGGTCAACATACAAGTCCGTGAGGGGCAATCTGCATCTTAAGATTCACTCCTCCGAGTTGACTTTTGAGTCCGCTCAAATGCCACTTCTATGACTCCCCCTCCCTTCCTCTCAGTCCGATGGAGACGGGTCAACATACAAGTCCGTGAGGAGCAATCTGCATCTCAAGATTCACCCTTCTTCCGTCCTCTTCAGGTACAGTTGTATGGCTATGACAGGCACACCCCCTTACCTTACCACTCACCCCGTACGTAACCTATTCAGGTATACCTCGCCAACCCCCACTCTGAACATCTTCATTTCTGTCCTTCCTTCCACCTAGCCCTGTTCATACTGTTACAGCCAGATACCTACAGCAGCAATGTATCAACCCTCATTCCCTTGCCATGGTCTCCCCTCTCCCCCTCCCCCCTCCTCCCTTCGCACTCCCCCTGTGTACTGCATTATCCACCTTCCTTACAGAGTGGCGCCGCAGTGGGTGGTGTTCCGCACTGCGTCACAAGCTGACTCGTTTCTGTACATGCGAGACGTGACTGCGGTTGAAAGAGAGTGGCTGCTAGACGCTGCTCCACACTTCTTCACCCAGAGGCAGATTGGGATCCCCACAAGAACATGATTCCAATCATTCTTCCACTGCTGAGTTGATTCTTCACCGTGCTCCGCTGCATCAGAACATTCTAGCCAAGTGTGATGAGTCGATTTTGAGTAGACTCATCACACGTTGATTGATTCTTCACCTTGCTCTGCGGCATCAGAACATTCTAGCCAAGCATTCCATTATTTCCTTTAGGAAAAGCGCGAGCACCAGCTCTACTTTTTTTTTTTTTTTTTTTTTTTTTTTTTTGGGCTTTAAGGAGATCCCCGGAGGAAACCAACCCCCCGTAGGGAGAAGGCGCTTCAGCACCAGCTCTACTGGTGCCATCATCAGCATCAATCTACAAACACTACCACACGTCAACCCCTGACAATAAACAAACATATCACAATAGCTATAACTTCACATGAACTACAAGTGTTACGATATGGCACATCTCCGACCACTCTCCTTGCTCCCGTCCCCCTTCCAATCATCCCCCTCTCCCCACGCCAAAGCCTCGTGCTCTATCTCAGCCACAACCTCCCTATGCTCTCTACACCCCACCACCTGCTGCTCCTCCTCCCAATACCTCTCCTCCACCTCACTCCCCTCGGGCGGGGGGGGGCGCCAAAACGTTCGCGCCAGCGCGTCAACTGCCTGGGAAGCTGCCCGGAATCTTTTCACCGAGAGCCGCCCAGACTGTAGTGTGTTCGCAAGCGCGTCTACAGCTTCTGCCTGTCTGCTCTGTGTGTGACAGACCAATACCATATCCACCCCTGCTGCTACAGCCAGCACTGCCGCCTCTCCCACGCCCACATGCTTAACTATCGCTCCCATTTCCAAACAATCCGATAACACGGCGCTTTCGAAGCCGATCTCCATGCGAAGGTAAGAGAGGGCGCCGGGGGAGAGAGTGGCAGGAAGAGAAGTGCCGAAGGTTGTCAGTGGGGAGGGGTTGGGGGAAGGGGCGGGGTGGTTGGTGGGAGGGGTGGGCTGCTGCTGGTGTGGCTGCTGTTGAGCGTTTGATGGTGAAGTGCGGGATTTGACTGTGTCAGCACCGGTGGTAACCCTACTGTTACTGCTGCTTCTGCTGCTGCCGTGGCTTCTCATATCACCAGCACTGCTAGAAGACGCCAGGTCAGACTCAGAGAGCGACCGTGGCAATCCCAAGGTTGCTTCTGCTTCTCTCCTCGCCTCATCCCACTGCTTTCGCCTCCTGTAGGAGGAAAACAGCTCCCACCGTGGACTGATGACACGTTTCACACTCTCTGGGATATATTCCATGGAAGGAGGAGGCTGCCACGTGGCAAGTGCAGGCACTGCCACGTGGGCAACCATTACAGCTGCCACGTCAGCATCCACTGCCGCCCGCGCAAACGGCACCAGCTCCACGGATTCAAGCCGGCTCAGATCGTGTGACGAATAAGGAAGCGCCAGGTGGCTATCCACTGACGTATCCCCGAGTCCCGGGTAATGCTTCACACACGCTGCGACCCCCTCCCCCTGCATACCCCTTATAAGCTCGTACCCCATTTGGGAAACAACACCCGGGTCCCGACTAAACGACCGAGCCCCTATAACTGGATTGTTAGGGTTAGTATCTACATCTAATACTGGAGCTAAGTCGATATCTATATGAACCGATCTTAACTCTCGCCCCAAGACACGCCCAGCCGCCCGGGCAAGAATAGGGTTTCGGGAACAGCCGATGGTGCGGGCGGCGGGGATGCAGGTGAATGGCGGGCCGAGGCGGGTGACTCTGCCGCCCTCCTGGTCCACCATGATGAGAAGACGCCGAGGGAATGCCGCCCGCTTGAGGTCGGCACAGAGAGAGGCCAGCTGGCGGGGGTCAGAGAAGTTGCGTGAGAAGAGAATGACGCCGCCTGCACCTGGAAAGGGGAGAGGATGAGAGGGAGTGAGTGTGTGAGTGAGAGAGTGAGAGCGCATGGCTCTGTGCGAGCTGGCGGGGGTTGGAGAAGTTGCGGGAGAAGAGGATGACGCCGCCCGCCCCTGGAAGGTGGGGTGGGAGGGTGAGAGGAAAGCGTGAGGAGGGAGCGAGTGAGTGAGTGGAAGGGAGAGCGTGAGTGAGTTAATGAGTGAATGGCTGTTGTGCATTGCGATGATAAGCTTTAATTGCTCACCCAAGGCGATGAGGCGGCGCGCATGGTCGTTCATCTCCTTCCCGTTGAACCCAAACGTCACCAGCTTAGCCACCGCTCGTTGGTACACCGCTAGGGAGTCTCCAGCCTCCGTTGCTGTAACCGAAGCAGTTCCAAACGGGGACGCGCTGTCAGGGGAAGACGACGAGTCGAGGGTTGAGCCCTCCTGCCGCTCCCAACTAGTACGGGGGGTGTTTCTGTTCCTGGTCGTTCTCACGTTGATTGATCGCAATTGCACGCCTAAATCCGCTCCCGTGCTTCCCCCTTCAGCCGCCTCGCTTGCTCTACCCGCGTTGCTGTGATTAAAACGAAAGGACCATGCGCCCTCTCCGTGCGCCACGTTACGCGCATCTGAAGGATAATTCCGCGCGCCATGCTGCTCCTGCTGTTGTTGCTGCAGGTGTTCCGCAGCGGCCTTTGCGCCTTGCGCAATCTCCGCATTCCCCCCCTCCTCTGGCCGGAAGAAGAGCGCTCCCTCCACGAGGACGGGATCCAACTGCTGAGCTGCGGAGTCAGGCTGACGAGAAATATCCGCCATCGGATTGGACCAGCGGGGTATCGATACGAGGCGCAAGGGGTGGTGTGGTACGGATATCGACGCAATTGGCTATTGCCGCTATACGCTGTCGCCACGAGTATTTGGTCGCCGCAATTAGTAACTGCCGTCTCGATTGCGACGGCGGTCCTAGATAACTACCTCATGTCAAACTAGACCTAAAGCGCGCTGGATTGGCGCGAAATAGACTCAGGAGGTGTCGAAAACCGAAGAAATTGAGGGGCGAAATTTCCGGAGGGGAGTTCAGTGGTGTCTCCGTTAGAAGCCGAGCCATGAAAGGTACGCACCCGGGGCAGGTCAGTTGGGCTGTTATGTTGCTTCTGCAGTTCTAGATTGGAAATGTATACTAAGCACACATAATAATATGGTTGAAGTGCTGAAAGGTGGGCCAGGGCTAGATTATTACGTGGATGCCATCAAAAAGGTAATGGCTCGACAGCGATTAGATTGCTGCAATCAGAAGTTGATCCTCCATAGGATCACCTCATGAAGGTTCGCACACAACCGATTGGAAGTGGTGGGCCCTTTGACCTCAAAAGCAGAGCGAATGTAAAATGATTGAGATGATAAAAAATGCAAATACAGGAATATAAATAAGAGTACAAGGGAATACGAATCGACCTAGGCTAGCCATGTACTCTAAGGGGTACTGTTACGTGTGCAATAAATCGAGGCAGCGATGATTGCACTAGAGTGTTCAATTAATACAAAATATGAGAGAAGGCATGAGGGAATACTTATACCGTATTCTCCCGGACAAAACACCCCCCCATAATTGTACAACCCCAGGTAGCTTGTGCGGGGTGGGTGTTATGGGGAGCCTCGTTTCTACTATACCCCCCTTTTGGGCTGATTTTCCATAACACCCCCCTTTTCTTACGAATTCGTTATAATAGTCGTTAACGAGTAGCTGCAATATTGAAGAATATCGCGAAAATTTCTCCCTAGATGAAATTTCGCGGTACATTCACTTACAATCTACCGAGATTTCCCCCCTCGCACTACTTCGCTGTGACCACCAGGGCCTCAGTTATCAGGATAATTTATCCTGACTCTCCTGAATTCAGGATAGGTGTCGTGTGCTAGTCCTGGAAAAACAGCATAACAGGAATAATTGTCCTGTAATTTCAGTATAACGGTTATTTTGCGTACTGAAAACTCAGGATAAGGCTGTAGGTTCAGCCCTGATGAGTCAGGATAGTGTCGAATCTCGCTCTGAGGCGAGATGTACTGTATGAAAAATCTCCTGGGTTTTGGGGCTGAAATATGTACGGGCGAGCACCTCAAACATAGGAGCCAGTAGGAATCGAACAAGAGACCTTTTACGTATCGCATTATCACTTTACCCGCTACAACACTTCACCTATCGCTGAATGTAGCACTAAATTTAGAGCATACTGCTAAATGTAGCTTTCAGGATACCTCACCCTGTGCAGCCCTGACAAATCAGGGCAAATTCTGATTTCCTAAAAACTGCCCTGAGGCCTCAGTGTACCCCCAAACGAATCTGAGGCCCTGGTGACCACGTGCAGGCGAATCTTCCGCTGCAAGTGGCAAGAGAGGTGCCACATGGCATTTTCGTGGGGGTGATGAAGCTCGTGGCCGAAACCCACATTCGCGCCTCAGACAGTGATGTTAAAATGAAAATCAAAACACCCACATTGTCTAATTAAATAAACACTAACACTAAAATATACCATATGTAAAGACCCGGGTATTATGTATTTTTTTCCTATGAGGAGACCCCCCCCCCCCATTTTTTCCCTGTATTTTTAGCTATACCCTAGGGTGCTATGTCCGGGAGAATACGGTACGCGAAAATGTGCAAACGGTAACGCGGTGCGTGCGAACTAGCTAGTTCTACGCTGGCGCGAGGTTCGGGCTAGTCCCGAAGCGTAGGCCGACTCGGCTGCTCCAGCAGTGCGAGGTTTGGTGAAACAGTGCGCGCGAAGTTGGCGAAGCCCCGTTAGCAATAACGGGCGAACAATGGCTGCTGCTGTACGTGATGTGGACGGTCGCGGTAAGGAATAGCGAGAAGATTCCTTACACTACCCCCCCCCCCCCCTCAAGAAGACACCTCCACTACACGAGTGCGTGTATATCGCGGAAACCCCGGCTCCTCAGGTACACTTGCAGGGCAAGGTGGTTTTCGATGGTGGCCGGGGGCACCCAGCTATCCTCAGTGGGCGTGCGGCCCTTCCAGCGAACGAGGAACTCGATCCTCTTGATGCTTGTGGGGTGGCGAATACGATGGCTCATATTTTTTTCGGGCTCAATGATCGGCTCCGATGCAAAGCGAGTCATAGATGGCGGGCGGTGACGAGGCAGTTGGCTCGTGCTTAGGATGTAAGGGCGAAGCAGGCTGACGTGGAATGATGGGCTGATGTACCAGTCTGTCGGCAACAGTAAGTGGGCGGTAACCGGGGTGATCATGTGGCTGATTTGAAATGGTCCACAGTAGCGCGGTCGTAATTTTGGTACGACGGGCAGTCTTAAGTTCTGTGTGTCGAGCAGTACGTAATCCCCTGACTGGTACGTGATTGGACGGCGGTGGCGGTCAGCGTTGCGTTTAGCGATGACGTTGGCTTTTTTAATTGCTTCTGCGGCTCTGGTGCGGGCAGCTTGCAGAATCTCGGCGAATTGCGGTGCTCGTGGCGTTGGGTTGTCCGGACTCGGCGTCATGGGCACTGTTTGGGTTTTGCCCGTAGCTCACGTAAAACGGGGACTGCTGCGTCGTCGCTGACGTGGCGTTGTTGTAGGCGAACTCGATCAGCGGCAGCTGTTGCTCCCAAGTTGTCGGGTCGTCGCACGTGGCCCGAATCAACTGTTCCATCGTCTGATTGGTCCGCTCTGTTTGACCGTCGGTCTCGGGGTGGTACGATGAACTGAACTGTAGCCTGGTCCCGAATTGCTCCCAGAGGTTCTTCCAGAAGTTGCTGGTAAACTTCGTATCGCGGTCGCTGATTATCGCGGCTGGTATCCCGTGCAGTCGAACGACGGCTGCGATGAAGAGGCGAGCGGTTTCTTCGGCTGAGACCGATTTCTTGCATGCAGCGAAGTGAGCCATTTTCGTCAGTTTGTCAACGACGACCATAACCGCGTCATTACCCCTAGGGTTCAAAGGTAACCCCGTGACGAAATCCATGGTAATTTGCTGCCAAGCGCGCTCGGGCGGTGGAATCGGCTGCAATTGACCCGCCTTTCTCTTTCGCGAGCTCTTCATCACCTGACACGTAGGACACGATCTCACGTGGTGCTGTACGTCGGTCAACAGCTCCGGCCAGTAGTAATACCGCTGCAGTTGCTGTCGCGTTTTTTCTACCCCGAAGTGGCCCGAGGTAATCCCGTCGTGTGCCTGCTGCAGTAACACTTCCCTTAGTAGTGAGTACGCGGGTACCCAAATGCGGTTGGTGCCTGTCCGTACTGTCACGTCGGCGCCAGTCAGGTAGCATCGCCACACTTTGAACGCGTGCACGATCGCCAGCATTTCGCGGTCGTGTATCAGGTACTTGCGTTCGGGCGGGTGCAGCTTGCGGGACTCGTACGCGATTGGCTGGAGGCCGTTCCCGAAGTCCTGCAACAGTACAGCTCCCACGGCGATGTCACTTGCGTCGGTGACGATCTCGAACGGACGGTGCAGATCTGCGATGCGAAGCATGGGCGGCAAGCACAAAATTTATTTGAGGGCCAAGAAGGCAGCTTGCTCTTTCTCCCCCCACGTGTACTCAACTCCCTTCCTCAGCAGGTCGGTCAACAGAGCAGTCAACTTCGCCATGTCGGGGACGAACCGGCGCACGTAGTTGACGAACCCCAAAAGCTTTGCAACTCGGTCAAGTTTGTCGGCACGTGGGATGGGGTAACGAGATTTGATGGTAACCCTGTTCAGTGCGCGGTAATAGAAGCAAATGCAAAACCCCCCCCGTCCTTTTTCGGTGTGAACAGTATCGGTGCTGCGAAGGGTGACGAACTCGGGGGAATAAATTCCTTCTCGAGCAGGTAATCTAGCTGCTTCCTTAGTTCGTCCAGTTTGGGTTGGGTCAGTCGGAACTGTCGCTGTACTGTCGGCTGTACCCCCGGTTCTAACTCTATCCTGTGGTCATGCGGTCGCTGATGTGGCAGTCCTGTCGGCAGGTCATCCGGGAAAATCCCACTGTACTGCTTCAGTAGTGCTGCCAAGTCATTCGGTACGTCGGCTAGCAGTTTCTGTAAACCCCCCCCTTTGTCTGCTGCCTCGGCTTCCCGAATGTCGACCGCGTACACGTCATCTCCTGCCGCTATGGCGCGTTTCATCGTGATCGCATTGACACGCACCGACGAAGACTCAGGCGAGCCCCAGCAACGTAAGGCGATGTTGTTACCGTTCACTCGCACGGTGCAATCACCCGTCGTCCAGTCGATTCGCGGATTGTGTCGTCGCAGCCAATCACGGTCGAGTAAAATGTCGGTTCCGTCGAGGGTTGTCGCGAGCATTTCCTGGCTAAACGTGAAGTTACCCCCGCATCGAATCCGAACCCGGTCTACGTGTTCCCGTATCGCCAGTGGCATGCCGTCAACCAGTCTTGCGTCGATATCAGGTAAACATCTGTCCAGTGGCAGTCTCAGTTTTCTTGCCATGGCGGTGTTGATCAAGCTGTGGCTAGCTCCCCCGTCTACGAATATTTTAACTAAGTCTGTCCCAATTTTCCCGCTAAGCAGTATGTGGGCTGTCTACCGTAGTACCCTCCTTATTCGGCCGGGTGTGGTCGATTGCGTGAACCGGCACAATCACTCGGTGAGGGTCGGTTGGGTCGGGCGAGCAGCGTGACCTGTCAGTAGAGGGCCCGTCTGCTACTGAATCCCAGCGTTTCCCTGCTGCTTGGTCTCTTTCTGCTGCTCAGCTTCCCCCTTTTCCTTAGTGTTTTCCGGGCATTCGCTCTTGCGGTGTTCCGGCCAATTGCACGCGAAGCAGCGCCCTTTGAACGGTCCGGCAGCGGCATTCGCGG